CTCGGGCATGTTTGTCTGATAATAAGCGTCTATATTTTATTATAAATGATGTACAGTAATGTGTTTTCATGCCAGCTGTAGCGTCGCCGTGGATCCGTCTGTACCACGTGGTTTCCTGTTTCACGGAGTGCTCGAAAGTTTATCCCGCATCCAGCAGAGGGCGCACTGACATAGTTTTTATTTCGTGTAAGTCTGGAGGACCTAGCAAAGGTGAGACTAAGTCGTCGTTTTGCAAGTCTCAAGTAAGTCTCAAGTCTTTGACCTCAAGTCCGAGTCAAGTCCCAAGTCAAATACAGGCAAGTCCAAGTCAAGTCTCGAGTCACTGGCTCATAAGTCCAAGTCAAGTCCAAGTCGTCTGCTTTGAGTTTCAAGTAATTTCAAGTCTATATTTTTTGCAATTTATATGACTTTTAATATAGTCATAGTATATTTATATCAGTATTTATAGAGTGTATTATAAGAGATTATAAGAAATGCAATTTTTTCCTTTTTATATGTCTTGACAAGATCTTAGAGTGAATGATTACAGTCAGAATAGAAAGAATTCAGATTTAAAAGCGCTTCTCAAGTTTTCTCAAGTCACAGGCCTCAAGTCCAAGTCGAGTCCCAAGTCACTGACCTTCAAGTCCAAGTCGAGTCCCAAGTCTTAGTCCATTTTATCAAGTTAAGTGTCAAGTCTTAAAAATAGTGACTCAAGTCTGACTTGAGTTCAAGTCACGATTTGCAAGTCCCCACCTCTGCTTTTTAGTTCAGATGATTTAGTGTCGGCAATGTAAGACTTTAAAAGATGATGAACTTGAAGCTGTCCAGACTTAAGAAACACAGAAGAGCACTATTATCACCTGACAGCAACTGTTGTGGGCTCTAGATTTAAACATGCACAAAAACATGCAATCTTACTGCTGCTCACCTCTCCACATACCTAGCAGGCCTAGTGCCATCACCTGCTAATTAATCATTTTAGGCAAAACATTTCTGTGGGCAGAAACGTGACTGTCACCAGAAAAGTTTCACAGTGCACCTTTAAAACAAAACACTACTCCAGGTGGATGATTAGGAAATAAGTATGAAACGTGGCTTTTTAAATGAAATAGACTAATGAAGTAATCACCACAATGCTACTTGATTTCAGGTGATTGCAGATTTTGCTTAAGATTCTCATTTGCAGACTAGACTATTGCAAGGCTGAAGATCAGAGATACATTTTACTCTTGGAATTAGGTGTTTGTGTTTGCACATTATGTCTATATTGCCCATTATGTGCCCCTGTCACTGTGTTTTGTTTATTTTTGCAGCTGTTCAGTGAAGGATGAGGAAGAATATTTGCACTAATATGAATCACACTTTACAGTAATAATGTGGTCTATTTGAAGTGACCTGATTTGGTGTCTGTAATCTTTTCCTATCTCACAGGATTCTGACCGTGACCCTTCCTCACGTGACTGACTCTTGAACATCTCGGGGCCCTTGTTGTATTATCTTCAGAAACCCACCTGAGTAAACATGGGTGTGGGCTAAAGAACGAAAAGGTATCTCTCCCCATAGACCTTCTATTTCTCTGTTAAAATGTTGGTTTACATTTCTACAATCACAGATCACTTCTACTCCTATAGGCCTACCTCAGGGTCTGGCACTTTAAGTCATAAGATTGTACACTTAAAGCTTAGGTAGCATAGTTTCAGTCACACGTTATATCTTTGCTGTTGCTATTAATTAATTAGTAAAGTATTTGTTCATTATGAATTATGTCTTTCTTCATCAAGGCTTTATTATGTTTAGGTGTATATATTTATTAAGTGTAACCAAAGAATAAAATAAGAACAACAGTAACTCACATGTATGTAACTCCTGCATGTTTGCCTTTTTATTGCTTTAAATCCTGATGCCCTTTCTGACATAATCTTCTTTTTTTAATCAGTCTTGTTAGTGGAAAAAATATCCACAATGTCTAGAGTGAATAACCATATGCATTCTTTTGTGCACACTTGGAAACATGAAGCACTTTCTTTGAATGTTAATGCAAGCTACATAATGTTTTGTTTCTGTTTTGATTCAGCATATAAGCAATTGAAATATATTAGAGCATTAATTACAATACACAGCTGCAATGCATAACATTTAAAAATACATTTCATGGCTCCCAAAATGACAATCAATAGTCTTAAGTTATTGTATCCACTCTCTGGCCTGATTCATCTCTATTTTAATTCTGAGAAAAATCCATTCCATATGCATTACATTACACAAACAGACAGCAGGCAGACCATATCCATGCACTCTACTGTCATAGATCATCACTACAAAGTTATGTGCAAGCAACACAAGTCTTTTCTTTGTGCTCTTGGCCGCAGCCCACACAGCCACATCCCCGCGATCCAATCTCCTTTGGTGGGAGGAGCTACTCTGCATCTGTTCTTTCTGGGAGAACCTGATTTGACCTTCAAGGGAAAACTAAGGGGGGGTGACAAATTGAAGTCCTTCTGCCAAAAGTGAATTTGTTTAATGTGAATGGGCTGTGGCGGGTAGAAAGTGGAACAACCTGAAATATTTGCTGTGGTGTGTGTAGCAGTATGGGAGGAGAGGGGGTGTGGTTTGCTCAGAACTTGACCTTATATGCACTGGTTTCCTCTTCTGAGCTGGACCATTAACAGTTTGCATGGGACAGCAGCCAGGTTGGATCTTGTGCAATGTTTTATTCAGCTTAGGAACAGATAGAAAAACAGTAGAAATTAGAAATAAGACAACATATAGCTAGATGTGAGACTTAATAAGTAAAATAAGTAATAAGAGGACCAGTCATAAATACAGTAAAAAAACAAATTAGTGATGTCCAACATTATCAAAGTGGATTAAAATTTTTCATAGGTATGTATTGAGTTATTATGGAATATAAAGATGGTATAACTTGTCATTTCAGTATCCCCTATGTTTATTTCCCAAATAGGCATTACTTGTAGCCCAGAGACAAGTTTCAACTACGAAATCGGTCTGATCATGTGTTGCGGTGTGACTATCCTTGAGTATGACAAATCACATATCCCGTCAGTTACAGTAAGGACATCAACCCCCCCCCCCAAAAAAAAAACAACAACGACTGAGTATCTTAGTGATCCATGTAAAAAATCCAGCTACCCAATTAGGGATAGGTGATACTGACAAAAATGTATCTTTCAGTATTTTTTACATCATCTCTATATTCAGATGACATTTTCACAATTGCATCAGGAATGTGCTAAAAGGCGCCTGTAACTGTCTTGGTTGTGGTTAAAGTGAAGTGCAAACCTTGACTGGACCATAAAGTTAGCCACAGTACAGAAATATCACTTTATGTCCTTGTTTGGGAGATTACACTAAACATTTCAATCTCTTTTTATGGGCATTTTATACTACTGTAACTATAGGCAATATACTCTCCACAGTAACAACTGGGATGTTATAATTTTTTTTTTTAAATATTTCTCCCACCTCTACGCCCAATGTGATCTCTGTCCTTTTGTTCCTAGCCTGGCCTACATGTGACTGTTAGCGGTGGGGCATCTCCAGGGCAGCTCACCCACTTCTGCAGAGGCCTGAAAATTCCTTGTCAGTTTGGATTAAGCGGACCCCAGCCCACAGTGCACAGAGGTGGGCCGGTTCAGGATGAGGCCTGATAAAAAGAATACAGTGGTAATATTCGGACTACTTACATATAACTGAGAAGATATTGAGATATACTGAGAATACCCCAGTGTACCAGCTTTCACAGTTTGCCCTAACATTTCATACGGCTACAGATGTAAGAGAATGTGGAAATGGGCCAAGTTCTATAGGATGTTAATAATTGTTTAATCTTATAAAATAATTTGTCTCCTCTCTGTTCCTCTATAGTTGTAAGTGAAAAAAAAGTATTGTGTCATTTTGGTTCATTAATGCTGTTGTCTTCTTCATGATGGTTCAAGATTGTTTAGATGTTTTATCTCTTTAGACATTTTATCTGGTGCTGCTCTGCTGTAAACTACATGGACCTATGAGGGCCACAGACTTTGGACCGTACTGTTTTTATGACAGATGGGTCAGCGGAAGTCATTGTGAGTAAACATAAACCTTTATTATTTTATAGTTTGTTGCTATATTTATCACACTTCCCTTTTAACCTATAGTGTAGGTTCTTCTTCACTGTAGTTTTATTGTTTATTTTATTACGTGGTCATGTAATGACTGTCAATCTAGTGCACAGTTGTGATCTCTCAAATAGGGACAAAGTGTGGACTTCAGACATGTAGCACTGTTTACTGATTTAAACAGATTTGTTTTAGACCTATATCCAGAACTGGCAGGGATGGGTTGAAACTAGCTTGTGTCATTTTCAGGGCAAAAATGTTACATAAACATAACATAAATTATGCCTTAAGGTTTAGGCTAATGAATATAGAACAAAATGGGCAGCCCCTGCAGTTGCAAAGTTAGGAATTCCATGTATAACTACACACAGTTTTATTCTTATGGTTAGTAGCCTATTACATAAACTGACATAATTCATTGGTGTTATGGCTTGTTGAAAAAGCAATGAGACCTTATTAATCTAATAAAGAATCATATAGGCTACTTGTTTTCCCCATAATATATTTATGTTTATATGCACCTTTGCCCATCTCAAAATGGTAACATTTGATGGGTGTAGATATAGTCTGCCTTCACATCTGTTGACACGGCCTGTATAAATGATGTATAAAATATGAGCATTCTTCTCTAACGCACACTGGGCCCCGAGCTGCGATGGTGAGGTCAAATTCTTGAAAGTGTCAGGCCCCGCCGTGAGGCTAATGTACACAAATACAGCAGCACTCTACATACATTCAGTTCCTACAGGGTGCTTGCAGGCGTAAAGGGTTAACGCACTCGTAGTAGAATCCGTGGCACGTGACCCCGCCCCGGATTTTTGGGACTGTGTGCCTCAGAAATCACACCACTACAGGCTCCGCCTCTCTCTCAGGGGCCCCTGCAGGTCCCACCCACCCTGGACCACATTGAAATGGGTCTGATGTTGTTGCCAAACAGAACAGTGTGTGGAGCATCCCGGCCCTGAGCATCAACTGGACCATCTAATTACCGAACCAACGGGACCTGAAATAGGAATAATATTCCCAGCACTTACTTCATTCAGTCATTAGGGTCCCTGTATTTGAGTGACAAGCAGTAGCATCACTCACAGGCACGCATCCACTGTCACATTGGGCAGAAGAATAGACGCGCATAGTTCAACCAACCGCGCGTTTGGAGACATGGGACGACTGCTTTACGCATACGTCGTTTTCCTCATCTTCACCATTTATCAAACAAGTAAGTAGTTTAAGAATTCATATAGGCTATATTTGTCTTTTTGTTAATGAGAAAAATTACAAATCCATCATTAATTAAATACGATGCGTTTGGGAATCAATTTGGCGCTTTTTCCCAAAAGTAAACTTTCTCACGTTTGCATTAGCCAATGGAGCCAATTACAGCACGGGGTAGTTTAAATTGCCCACTCCGGTGACTGTACCGGATGCATGATGATGGGGGAGGGCACAGATATTCCTCGAAATGTAGGTCAAATCTCTTTTCCCCCTCTCCCCTCTTTGCTTTCAAAGAAGAAAATGTGTAATCGGAAAAAAAAGATCACATTCCATCATAAAGTTTGCATTATTCATTCGAGTGCATTTGGTGTGTTTTGTTCAGGCTGGTGTGTGAATGGAGCGGCATAGTTTGGATACAGTGGCGCTCATAGTAGCCAATGGGTTTCAAGGAGCGCCAGAATACGGTTTCCAGTCGAGTGAGAGAAAAGCCGGTTTTTCGGTGCTGTTATTCATGATGCAATGATACGCGCCAATAGCAACTCACAAAACCATTCTGGGCACATGATCAGGAAAAATGGCACAATTTATTACATTGCATCAGCCAACTGCGTGGAATCCCACCCTGATGGAATAGCCAAAGAATCTGGATATCGCATAGTCCGATAAGTGTTAGATTGCTTTTTGGATTATGGAACTGATCTGCTCCTTTTACCTGAAATACCCCGCGCTCTAGTAAAAGGGAGGGGCTTTATACTATAAACATATGGGGAGAGCTTCAGACCGCTCTACTGTATGGTTCAAGCAAATGTGCTTTTATGGTGAAGCTTGTCCGAACTGGCTCAAACCAATCCACCTTTCAGCCGCGACGGAAGAATGCTATGTATTGTTTCTGAGGCTCCAAGGCCATGGTCAAACCTACAACTACAAATGAAAACACTCTTTGTTTCAGCCTATCTGAAACTGTTGTCTTTGTGTTATGTACGTTTTTTTAATTTACAGTATTTACTAATTAGTTCATTTAGGGATTAAGGAGGCCACAACAAGTGTACTACTACAGTATGATCAAATGTGCAGTTTGGTTAAACCCATTCGATTTAGGCTTCAGACACAATTTGTAAGAGACTATTAAGATTAGCAATATCAAAGCATCATAATATTGCATTTTATTGAACAGAGAATAATTTAATAGTCAAACATGTCTTGTTTTTTATATAACCCGTGCACTGACCAAAAAAATAACACTACCATCAGGGGGTTTGCTGAACTTTAAGCCCACTTTGTAAATATGCCACGTGAACCAAGTCCAGGTGACAGCCACAATCCTGGGAAACCAGATGTTTTTGGGACACTTGTACTGTCATCCACCGTTTTACTGTTAAGGGGGCAGTAAACTGAAGTAACAAAATATTAAATAGTCTGTTTTAGAGTATTAAAAACATCAATAATTACAGTACTGACAGTTACATTTATGAGTCTACTGAATGAATTTGAATGCTTGTATTTGCTAATAGGAATAACTCCCATGATAAATTATTTGTTGTCACATGAAGCCATATAAAGCATTTCAGTACCTATGGCAGTGATCTCCATTCATAATCCAAACATGCAGATCTTCTGTACAAGAGAAGAGGTTAGACCAATAGAAACAGTCCACCTTTTCATGGTATTTCTTATGATAAACAACATTACTGTAATAATCTTCAACAGTATCAGTCAAAGCACCCGTTTCAAACAATCAGTGACAGCCACAAGTGTTGTCCATTGTCTTAATGCTGCTGTTTGGGTGCGTTAGTGTCTTAATGCCCATCACAAACAGGTGGTCTCCTGAGGGAGTCTTCAGGGAGCATGCCCTCTTAAGCACAGCCTAATGCAGCTTTAGTAGTGTTGTGAGGGTAACATTGGGGGAAGGGAAGATTGTCATAAATATTATGTATTTGAACAGTGATGATGCGTATAGACAAATGACGATAACCAGAAGCCGTGCTATAGGTGCAGCCAGGAGGCGTGTTTGACTTAACTATACTCTGCCCTGTTTCAACAAGTAGCAACATGAGCATGCTGTGTAAACCTACTTAAATGTCATATCAAAGTGGGTTGATGTTGGCAGTTGCAGAAACCTAGTTTCACTTTTGACTGATGTTGATAATGATAACTTTAAAAAAATATGTATTTAGTTGGGAGTTTCAGTTGCATACAATTTATCTTGCACTAATAGCAACTGCGATAACGGCAAGGGAGTGGCATTCTGGTTTTGAAGAGGGATTGGATAGCTACTTTGATTCTAACAGGTGCCCCACGTGCAATGAATAACTAGTTAATGTATGCAAATATGCAAATTATTCTTCTTCATAGCAAAGCTTTAAGGGCAAAAATGTATATCATAATTATTTCCCTTTTTGGAAAAACTGCTAAATTATCTTACTTCTATAAGTAAAAGTAATTTTAATGTTGACTGTTTTTAAACAGGTGCTTTCATTACCTGTGGGACGAGACAGTTCCAATGTGGCAATGGGAAATGCATTACGGCCAGATGGGTTTGTGATGGAACAGACGACTGTGGTGACGGCACAGACGAGCTCCCTGGCACCTGCTGTAAGTGTCACCCAGTGTACTCCTCCTCTAGTATTCACAAGAATGAACAAAGGCTGTAGAAATGGAGCATTTGACTGGGGTATTACAATAGTTAAATACATTATACATGGGCTTCAGTAACTGTAAGTATCGTAAGTATTTTTTTAGTTAATAACTGTGGTAATTTCACTTTTAAATATGATGTCAAAATACTTTACCCTAACATTTCAAGGCAATACACAAATGTTTAAATGACCTGGATGTGTTTTGAAAGCACCACAGTAGGGCATTGTGAAGTAGTTATAGTTAAGTTCTAAGTTTTGTGTGTGTTGTTTGCAGTGGCTAAATCGTGTAGACCTACAGAGTTCACCTGCGCAGACCGACTGAACCAGTGTATCCCAAAGAGCTGGCAATGTGACGGAAAGGCGGACTGTGAGAACGGAGCAGATGAGGAGAGTTGTGGTACGCCAACATCACTGATAAACTCAACAAATAAATGAAAAAAGGAAGGGGGCATGGTCTCATGTATGTACCCCTTTGTTCATTTCCCCTCAGCTCCCAAACAGTGCACAGACTCAGAGTTCAGGTGCGGGACAGGCCAGTGTGTCTCCTCTTCGTTTGTGTGTGATGAAGAGTCGGACTGTGAGGATGGCAGTGATGAGGCGTCATGCCCCCCGATCACCTGTAGCTCCGCTAGCTTCAGGTGTAACAGCTCGGCCTGTATCCCCCGCTTATGGGCCTGTGACGGGGATTTGGATTGCAGCGATGGGTCTGACGAGTGGCCCTCTAATTGCGGGTCCCGGACCACTGTGGCGGCCAAGAGCTGCTCCGCTCTAGAGTTCAAGTGTGGCAGTGGCGAGTGCATCCACAGCAACTGGAAGTGTGATGGAGGGGTGGACTGCATGGACAGATCCGATGAAGCGAACTGTGGTAAGTAACCTAGTTTAGGCTTCACATATTATTTGATAATTAAGTGGTAATTGGTAGTTAGTGGTTCTTAGTAGGTACTAAATCATCTACTGCTGTATTAACAATGTTAATGAACTGTTTTAATGGGACAAACATCATCAGTGGCTGAATACTTAAAATTCGACCTGTTGACCTTAGCCTTTTACTATTAGTTAGCCAATAAAATGTGGTCCCTTAACCATAAACTATCAAATCAACTGATGTGTGATATCATATTGGCGTAGAATATAGATTCTAATTGACTAGTTGGGTAAATTGACTAAAACTAATATTGATACCTTTATCAAATATTTACCTTATATGAACCCAGTTGGTAAAGAAAGACATGGCTGCTCTATTTCCTCCAACTACTATCTTATTTTTAGCTCATAATTTGAAAAGTAAATATTTTTCTATTACATTTGAGCTGGTTTTTTTTTGTAGCTCGCACGACTTGCCGTCCTGATGAGTTTGAATGTGGAGATGGGACTTGTATCCACGGGAGCCACCAGTGCAACCACCAGTACGACTGTCAGGACATGAGCGATGAGCTGGGCTGTGTCAATGGTACAGTGTCCCTGAATATAATAGTTTAATAGTGTCATTGTTCTTGGACAGAAAACAAGCACCGCATTTCATCCCTTTTACTTAAAGTTAAATATGTTTATTAACACAGGAAAATGGGAACATAATGAAAATGCAACAGAATGCTAAATTTTTAAAACTCATTACACAGTGAAATCGCAAAACATAATTTATGTTGTGAGCCTGACAATTCATTTTGTAAATTAGCTTTGTTTTTTATTATTAAACATTGACTAGGGATGCCAAATTACACATGATATCTTTCCCACCTCCCTCCTTACCTGCTGTAATATTTGGTTTCTCACCCTCAGTGACACAGTGCGAGGGCCCTCAAAAGTTCAGATGTCGTAGTGGGGAGTGCATCCAAATGGACAAAGTGTGTGACAGGAAGAGGGACTGCAGGGATTGGTCCGATGAGCCGCTCAGAGAATGTGGTAAGTACAGCTCAATCTCTTATACTTAATTATAACCTCTGTGTCTCAAGTCTGTCAACAAACAGAAAAACAAACAAAACACTTACTCACCTCTCTTCACTGCAGGCAAAAATGAGTGTCTCTTCAGCAATGGCGGCTGCTCACACATCTGTAATGACCTTAAGATTGGATATGAGTGCCTTTGCCCATCCGGGTTCTATCTGGTTGATAGAAAGAGATGTGAAGGTAACTGAGTTTAATCAAATGTTTTTTCGATAGTTTGGAACCTTGATCTTATTGCATGTTTTATTTACTCACTCTCACTCAGGTCACAGAGTTGATTATTTGCAAATTATTTACTTTCAATAAATTACACTGGTTTTAAAGTAATGTTTTTGCTTTGTTTAATCAGACATCGATGAGTGTGCCAATCCAGACACCTGCAGTCAGATCTGCATAAATCAGATTGGCAGTTACAAATGCCAGTGTGAGGAGGGATATCAAGTCGACCCTGCCACCAAAGCCTGCAAAGCTATTGGTAAATGTAATCTTCTGAGTACAAAGTGACTTGTATTTTTGGAAAAAAGTAAAAATTTTAAATGAATGGATGTTCCATATTTAAACATATTATACATTTTAAACTTATTTTATTTTATTTTATTTTAAAGTCAATGCATGATTTATTTTTCTTATCCTGCAGGTACTATAGCTTACCTGTTCTTTACCAACCGTCATGAGGTCAGGAAAATGACCCTGGACAAGAGTGAGTACACTAGAGTCATCCCCCGACTGAAAAACGCAGTGGCTCTGGACATGAATATGGCCACCAAGGACATATACTGGTCTGACATCTCTCAAAAGAAGATCTACAGGTAGTTTATTCAACACAACAATGAAGTAGTATAAATGATCTTTTATTTTCTTTTAAATTGTGGTTTCTCTCTAGAGCTCAGATGGATTTGGCTGAGAACCCCTCAAGTCATAACATACTCATCAGTACTGACATTGAGGCTCCCGAGGGAATCGCCTTTGACTGGATCCACAGGAACCTGTACTGGACTGACAGCATCCGCAGCACTATCTCTGTAGTAACCGCTGATGGGACACGCCGAAAAACTCTCTTTTACCAAGGACTGTCCAAGCCCCGGGCCATTGTGGTTGACCCTCACAGCAAGTAAGTTTTAAAGTCATTGTAACCTCTTCAGAAACACAGAGAGCTGCTAATGATGATGCTAATCTTGAGGATAAAAAAACACCATTTTATTAGGTTCAAAAGTAATATATACAGAATGGTGTTTACCTTACCTTGCTCAAAAAGTCAATTTAGCATAGAATGCACTTTTTTATCATCTATAACATAAGATATGTGTATTGTTCATTAAAAATAACAATGTTTCTTCTCAGCTTCCTGTACTGGACAGACTGGGGTAACCCTGCTAAGATTGAGAAGGGTGGACTGAATGGAGTGGACCGCACTGCTCTGGTCACTGACAACATCGAGTGGCCCAATGGCATCACTCTGGGTAAACACTTGGCTTTCCTCCATCCTTTGTGATAATGGATCCTTTCGTCTGACCTCCACCCCTGCTCCCACAGACCTGTTGAACCAGCGGCTGTACTGGGTGGACTCCAAGTTACACACTCTCTCCAGTATCGATGTGCAAGGCGGGGGGCGGCGCACCCTTATTATTGACGAAGAGCAGCTGGCTCACCCACTGGGACTGACTGTGTTTGAGGTATGTATACAGCATTATAAACTAGATTATTCTCAGCCCACATCCAAACATCCCAAATGATTTATTGGTAACGATTGGTTAAATACTGTCTGTAATTTGATGGTAATATGTTAATGCTTTATAAAACAAGCTCTAATGCTGTTGTGTAATTTACAGGAGAGAGTATTTTGGACTGACGTCAGTAACAATGCCATCCTAAGTGCAAACAGACTGACCGGAGAGGACATACGACCAGTGGCCGAACACCTCTCATCACCCGAGGACATTATTTTGTACCATAACCTCAAGCAGCCTGCTGGTAGGAGACTGTTGTGTTCATATACTGTTCCAATACTAGCCTATATTTGTTTCTTGAACTGTAATCAATACTAAGGATGTTATTATAGCCTGTAAAAGAATGTTGTGTTGTATTATTGTAGGCAGAGACTGGTGCCAAGTGTCCAACGGTGGCTGTGAGTTCATGTGTCTGGCAGCCCCTCAGGTGGGGAGACACCCCCCACGATACACCTGTGTGTGTCCTGACAACATGACGCTCGCCCGAGACATGAGGAGATGTGTTCCTGGTATGTGAACCTTTTATGTGTAAAGAAAGTTTCATCTGTGTTCATGTGGACTCTGTTTTTGTGATCAAGATGTATTGGCTTCCATCCAGAAGCCATTTTCAACTGATGTAACTGTCTTGAAGCCCTGGGATTTTATGCTGTCCTGAGTTAACTAAGTTTTCAGTGCTTTAAGCCTGTAACATAAATTGAAAATGGCTTCTGGATGGACAAATAGATGAATGAAGGACTACACTGTCCCTTTTGTTATGAAGCCTATTAATGCTCAACAATATGCAATATTCAAGCTGCTTGAATAAAGCATATTACAGGGGTTTTGTCAAATGATAGCTAATGTTCACTGTTGGCTCCTCTCCAGTCGTCCCCACACCTGCCCGTCCTGTCACCACCAGGCCCGAGATTGTGCAGCCCCCCACCACACCCACAACCACAGCTAAGCCCCTGATCCCCACCACCACCCAGGCCCCTGTAGTGGTCCATAAACCAGTGACCACACCTCCCCCCACACCTGTGACCCACCCAGCTCCAAGCACCACTAAACCCACCGTGAAGATGACTGCTGCACCCAGCACCCCCCGACCTAAAGCTGTGACTTCCACTACTGTGCCTCCCAGAGCCCAGACCACCTCCCAGGTTCCAGTCACTACCTCAGGTAACCCTTTTATTGTGAATACCAAAACAAATAACAAATGATAGATAGAAAATATGATTGCAAAATTACTTTATTTTAAAGGAATTACCGTACATGAATAAAACTCTTATTTAAAAACAACTCACAAAATCAAAGATAAAACTTTTTTTAATTACCGGCAAGTGATTTTGTTTGGTCTAACAATCAAAGACAGCTTGGATTTTTGTGTCACCATGTAAACAGACCTGCACAGTGTTATTAGACTTTGCAAACTGAAAACATGTTGTTTCAGCATGTTGACTCTACGTTTTAGAATCATAATAGACGTCATGACCCATACGTTGTCATGACCCCTTTTCTGTTTGGGCTGCTACCTCCCTACTCGCTGTCAATAAACCTGAACTACCTTGTGGGGCCTCTAAATTCATGAATAGACCCTGAGCCCCAGTGTACATTGCTCTCGGTCAGCATACACAGGAGCTGTTTTAGTACCATATCAATGTTTTGTTTACTTTCCCCTCAGACTCCAGACATGTCGTTGGAGCTATACCCAGTACAGCCTCAAGTACCCCCATCGCTCTGTACATCACTCTGCCTTTAGGTGAGTGCCTTTGACTTTGCTAAAGATTTTAGAGCAATGGTTCACACACTGATATGTGTTCTTCTAATGATGTATGGATATTTTTTTCTGGTAGTGCTCAGAAGTAAGTTTAGTGTATTACCTCTGCCTTCTATCACGGTCTAGCATAGTTCTATGGTGTTCTAGATCTGGTTTAGTCCTGATGTCACTGTAAAGGTCCATTCCAAAATGTTTCTCTTAATGTGACTTGTGTCTCTTTAGTCATCGTCTGTATGGTGATTGTTGGTGGATTGCTGCTGTGGAGAAACTATCGACTTAAGAACACCAACACGATTCACTTTGACAACCCAGTGTACCAGAAGACAACCGAGGACCAGGTGCGCATCTGGAGGAGCAGCAGTTTTGATGCTGGTTACATATATCCAAAAGTAAGGATTGGCTCTAAAAGTACAACACTGGAACAGTGTAAAGACTAGTTTAACAGATTTAATCTTTTGTGTTTGTTTCAGAGACAAATAGTTGACTTGAATGAAGAAGCAGACAATCCAGCCTTCACTGAAAACTGAAGACGTCTACCTCACATAGTGTAAAGATATAGCACTCAGTGGACAGCCAGGGTTAGATATCAGGAGTACAAGCTTCATCGACAATCTATAATCTCCATTTAGCTAACCCATCAGAAGATGTGATGAGGTTCTTTTTCATATGTCACCCTAAAAGGGTCAAGAAATTATCCCAAGTTTAGAAGATTATTTTTACGATTTTAAGTTGGGGTAAATCTACAGTTACTCAAGTAACTTGAAAAAATATAGTCTTTTGTAAAAAACATCACATCTAATTCTATTTTTGAACTAAAAACAAATGAATGTCCACTCTAATTATTGCTAACTCATTACTTTCACCATAGTGACCTCACCATGTGTGTATAAGTTTGTGATATGAAAGCAGCCTTTGCCTCATGTATTCTCAAAAAAAGGGACCTAAGCCACTGTTGAGCCACACTTGTTTGTGCCTTGTCACTGCACTCTTCCATGACCCCCCTCTGTGTTTTTAAAGTGAAACTGCACTTTCTCAGGACTAGTTAGAGGAAATCTTTCCTGCCTTATTCCTCTCAGGAGGACGACCACATTCCTGTTCATCACGGGTGCTTTGATGGGCCCATATGTGAGTAATGGCTGCCTTCTGTGTGGTTCACGTGGACATTATTTACATCTTGGTGAAGGGCCGGACCTACCTGTGCATTCCCCCATAACTTAAGCCACATGTTAACAGTGGCTCTAACACAGCATAATATAGAATAACAAATATTTCACTTTAAATGCCTGACTGATGTGTGCCTTGTCCTAAGGTTGAAAATGTTTAGGTCTGTTTACAGTGGGATTTTAGATGGACTAGAAACAGTTACAAAGTGAGGTCATGTAAATATGTCTAAAAAGGGAAACCTATGGGAGGGCGTGTGCAGCTGTACATAGATTGCGTCCATAATGCGTATGTACATATGATGTGGATAATTGTAAATATTTGTTACTTATGTTGTTTTAGCTTTTGTTCTGTTGTACATAAATAAAAAGTCTATTTATTATAGAATCACTTTGGCCTGGTGTCAGTATTAATTATTACTATTACACTAGCTTCACAGAGCAGTGACATGCTATTGCCTTATTGTTTTTTTTTTTGGTTTTTTGGGTTTTTTTTAGAATTTCCTACAAGGGCAAAATGAGTTGTACCATTGTCTTTGTATGCAAACATTTAAGTAAAAAGTCCCTTAGTTAGACATCATATTTAGCCTATATCTTTTTGTGTATTTTCAGAAGCATTACATTATGTGGGCCGAGTAGAATGGCTGGAGCCTACAGTTGTATATTTTGGCATGAGCAGCTGTGGTATGTGGTATGGCCCCAAACGTGAAGAGGGCTACCCCCTCCTCTGCCCCCTGCTTTCCAAGAAGGTCCAGCCCCTGCTCTGAAACACAACACCGCTGTGAAAATTTCCTCGAACTTCTAGGGGTTCCAAAGTATCTGTTATTACCCCACACTCCTCTCATAGACTGTCTTTGCAACATGTGGCAAAGGGGAGAACAATGTTTGAATGGAGAACTACTCAAAACAAAAACAACTGACTCACACTCAGATCTGTCCATTTTTTGAAATCTGTTGGTCATAATAACAATAAAAGATAACTACACACACTGACTTGTGCCAGTTTACCATAACACTGTTTATTTATCCTTCTAAGGCAAAAATATACAAATGAAAATACAAAAAACAAAATGCTTAAGCACAACGTGAGGTGGTGTAGCACCTTCCTCTCACAACAGGAAGGTCCCAGATTTGAATCGTGTGTTTATTGTGATTTTAATGTATTTCTTTGCACTTTGGATGACTTTGTGTACAAATACACAAATACACTTGCCTTGCCCTGCCTAATACTCTAGCCCTAACCAGTCTCCTTGAAATCAAGTCATATACATTTATGCTCTCCCTTCAATCTTTAAATTAAATGACAACCCTTTTTTCTCCAGCTTTATTGCAGAATCAGCATCCTCAGCCCCTCCATCTCCTCCTCTTCACCACAAATAAAATGTCTCTCATATTCTCCCTTAATTTCATTGCTGACAACCTCCTCCTTCTGGGGTACCTGTTGGGTCTAAGTGCAAAATGCATATATCTAGCTAACAGCTGAGACAACACCATCCATCTGGCCTGCTGTAAAGATGATTTACCATCAAAATAACAGTCACCCCAACTGATTTCAGAAGCTTTCTACATATTTTCAAGACATGTGGACATGCACTCTGCCAATTTATTTTGGGCAGGGTGGCAGGGGAAGCATGGCTGCTGATTGGCTGTGTTGGTCCTGCCTTGCTGTGGGCCTGTGTCAGGTTAAGGTTCGGCATTTGCTGGAAATGGCTGAGAAAAGCATTGGGCTGACCAATCAGCAAAGATATTGTCAGTCACAAACAAGCCAATCATAGACAGTGCTTCCCCTTCTGCCTTGTCAAATACAAATTTTCCAGGGGCCCAGCACTGACTGAAAATATTATTGCTTCGCCTAAAATGTTCCACTGTATATTACATTTATCAAGCTTGTATTCAGTTAATTAAAGGTGTTTTTCATGATAAAGAAAAAACACATATTTTGGCTTTGAGTGGGTTGCCTCTCCATAATTCTGACATATAACATGGCATGATAGTGTCACTTGCTTGTCTCCATGAAGATAAATATGTTTATCCATGGAGAGATGATCAGCCTTCTACCAGAAAAGTTACACAGTGCACCTTTAAAGCGCATACCACAGTGTTGACTGCACAATATTCAAAACTGTTGTGACCCTGCACACACTGCCACTGGACTGCTCTGTTATGTGCACAGGACAAGGTCAGATTCATAGTGTCAAGAGTCAAGGGGAGTTCTGCTGTATACACTGTAAGCTGTGTGAGTGACACTCTGTAAACTAGGATAAAGCCATAAGTTAATAACAAACACAAACACGGAAATTGTATAACATCAGATGGTCATGTTTTTGACCATGGAAATCTAGTTTTTCGAAGAACCATTTTAGCAATGATTAATCAAAGAAGAGGTCACATACAACCTGGTGGAAGCCTGGTCATGTGGACAAAAGTGGAGTGATTAGGAGCATTAGAGGACCATGGGGACCTTTACTCCATGACAAGTAGATTTTGGAGGCACACACTGCTCTGAGGTAATAGTATTTCAGAATGAGACGATCTTGTGAGTGGTAAACACTTTGATACAGTCTGGCAAAAGTTAATACTAAACAAAGCTCAAAGGATATACAGGCAGACAAATATTGTAGCAAGTGCCCTCGATCACAGTACAAAAAACCTTAGTCAATGATTTCTTTTTCAGTTTTGATCATTATGAATAATATTTTACATAATTTAGTTTTTGGCAGTTTTAAAAACTGATACAGTATCAGGAAACATCTGGTGGTGCCCTCAAAAGACAGAAGTGTTGGTTGGACTGTTTATGCATGAGCCTTTTAACGTTCTTAAAGCTGATGAATGTAAACATGTTGTCGACCCAGATGAGACAGATAAGCCATACATTATGTACGACCAGGGTGATGTTGGGTTTCATGAGGAAACTGCCTAAAGGTGTAACAACATTGCAGTGATGCCATCTAGTGTACAATTGTGTAATTGCAACCAATGAGTCCAGTCCAAATTTTATTATGAGATGCCTTTATTGTGAAATTTGAGTCCAGTGACAGCAACACAGGCAACGGCTTTATCCCTCCCTCCCCATTTACAAACCTGAAGAGGAGGGGGTCTGCTGGTGGGACTAGCCGAGACCCGCTGAGAATGTTTTTTTTTTTTTTTTTTAAATTAAGAGAGGCTAGTGAAGACACATCCAGACAAACATGCATTCAGAAAAGTACTCCTGGTCCCAAATACAAGGAAAATTAATATCACTTTAAAAAAAAGATTTTTTTTTTTTTAAACCCTTGATCAGTCTACAATAGGCTCCAACATGATCCATTTAAACAAAAGACACTACAATTCATACAGGACAATGCATTAAATATGGGAATGGGTGCTTCATATCTTAAGTTTAATGGGGTTTGATTAATGCTATATTTAATGAGAACAGTCTTACTAAAAATGAGCTCTTCTAGGTAAAACTAAGACCTGCCATTTCTAAGAAGAATATATAAATCACAGTCAAAAGGGCAAGGGGGTGGGCGTTGAGTAAGAGAGCTCAGTCGTCCTCACTGCCGCTGCCAGAGCGATCCTGTAAACAACACACACATATGAACTTATTATATAAAAAGGCAGAGAGGAACAGTTTCAGATAGTAGTATGGCATTTGGATTTGATCAGAACTGCAAATATGCCCATTGGGAACAACTTTACAATCTATAAAAAATATAACTTAAATAAAATAATGAAATCCCCCTCACTGATTTTAAGTGATGTTAAAGTTTAGGATTAATTTGATATTTTTGTGTAAAATAAATGGGCACTTTCAGTTACTGACAAAGAATGAGTTAAATGCTTTACATCAGCAGAGTAGAATGTATGAGCTCACCTCCTCTTGCTCATCCTCGCTGTCGTCATCGCTCACCACAGGTTTGGCCCGAGACCCTCGGCTTTTCCTCTTTTGACCTTTGCCCCCTTTGTCACCTTTCTCTTTCCGGCTCAGTTTAATCTTCACCTTCACCGATCGAGCTGAGGGCACAAATGACACAATGTCATAAACCAAATACTGAACTTTTAAATCAGTATAAATGGCGAGTTGTGGTTCTCACATTCAGACTCTGAGCCTTCATCCATCTCCTCCTCCTCTTCCTCACTGTCTTCTCCTTCACTCTCCTCCTCCTTCTCGATCTTCTGCCTCACACTGGTGAACACAGACTGCAGCACAATGGAGTCCTCGTAGATCTGAAAAAGATTGCAGAGACAAAGTTCTTTAGATTATTTTCAGGATCTAAACACAGAAACATGATGATAGGGCAGATTACTAACCAGAGAGCCCTCCAGGTTAAATGTTTGTGCATTTTGACACAGCAGCATTACATCCTTCTCCAGGTCGTTGAGGCCGCGATATTTGTGACTACGGATCCTCTCCTAGAGAATAACAATAGATTTGACTTGAGTTACTGTAATTTAAACAACCCAGTGAACAAGTTGACTTCATGATTGTTGAAACTGAGAAGGTGTTGATTACCCATAGACATCGCCTTGAGTTGAATTAATGCACTAATGTTATGCCAAAAGGGTTGTATACCATTATACTATCAATTATATTATCCACTTCAATTATGACACAATGTCTTCTCAAAAATAAAACCAACTTATGCATAAACAGTGTTATTTCAAAAGACTAACATTTCTATTGCCTTTCTTTTTAAATAAAAACATTGCAATTGTTTGAATGTATGTGTACCTTAATCTTTCTGAAGTCCACAGGTTTGCGTATGAGCTCATAGTACTCGGGGAGTTCCTTTCGAGAGGGAAGCTGGATGAAGACCTCACTTAGCTGTCGGCCATTACTGCAAGCATAATTAACACTAAGTTAAATACATGAAGGGCTAAGCAGTTTTTTGCCATCAGTTACTATACTGATTTTGACTATTTTGTCAAAACCCATGTAAGGCTTGGATCAACTTGTTTTTGTACAAAAGTACCAGACACAACAAGTTAGGACCGTGTAAAATCGACATGGGGCTATTCAAGTCAATCCTAAAACAGTAAACAGCATATGGATTGCGATTTTTTAGTTTATGTATTTTTTTCTGTGCTAAAAAGGGACGACATTGTCCATGTTACTTAACCTTCAGCTTCAAAGTCATGTTTGTTTTTACTGAGAGCAAAAATCTATTTGAAAATTGTGATTGAGAAATACTTAGATTATTTATTCTACTCACCCATCCTTATACTTGATCACAGCGTCCACAATCTTCTTCATCTTCTTTGTGAGAGAGGGTGGGTTAGGGGACAGTTTCTCAGCTGGAGGGCGGCCACGTTTCTTGGCCTTCTTGCCATCGTCATCCTTGTCCCTCCCCCGGCCAGAGCTGCTGGGGGTGGACATGCAGTCATCCCGGTCCCTCTTGCGCTTCCTTGTGGTCTTTTTGTGACGCACCTCTTCTTCAAGGTCCTCCAGGTTGCCATCTTCTATGGCCTGTGGAGATGCATATACTTAGGGCTCATGTTCTTAAATCCTTTGCCTTTTAATCATAAAATGTTTTAACCCAGCAATTTAGTACTTCACATGACGCAATTAAGTACATGCATCCTTTTTCCAGGAATTGGTATTTTACAACATACACATTAGAAAATAATCAATTTGGTCTTCCTTTTCATTGTAGTTCCTATAGTTGTACTGTACTTAAGAGCAGAATTACCTTAAGCCACTGTTTCTCAGTGAGCGAATCACTGTAGTCCACCTCCTTACGTTGGCGTGACCCTCGTCCAAACATCTTCTCCTCCTCCTCCTCACAGGTCAGCCTCTCCACCTCAGCATCGTCCTTCAGGATCCAGCTAGGCATGTCATCTTCCTCCATCAGACGAGGCTTCCTCTTAGGGTTACGTGCATCCTCACGCCGCCGATCCAGGTCCATACGCTGAAAAAAAGGAGGAACAAGTTACAAACAGCTCTCATGGGAATGTTTAACATGTTATACAACTATTGAATTATTAAAAGCAAAAATGAAGGACAAACAGGGAACACCACCTGATGCAACTGTGTCCGAGTATAGACTTAATATCGGCCAAAAATGAATTTATTTCAATTTATATTTCACTTACCATGAATTGTTCAAATTCCTCTTCGCTTCTGGCAATCATCTGATTGACTGTCTCATCATCAGGAACTTCATCCTCCTCCTGCAAAGAAGGAAAGAAATTATTAGGCTCAACATTTGTGACTGTTTTTGATGTTTTCCATGAAAATTATATTACTCTCCAAAAAAAAAAAGAAATGAGCCCTGACCTCATCCTGCTCTTCATGCTCTAAAATGGCCTGTAGAAAAGCTCTCCTCTCACACCCAGAAGACTTCTGGTCGAACATGCCAGCCTGGATGACTTTCTGGTCCACATTCAGCTTGTACTTGGCAGCTGCCAGAATCTTCTCCTCTACACTGTTGACTGTGCACAGTCGAAGCACTCGCACTTCATTCTGCTGACCAATACGATGTGCTCTGTCCTGGGCCTGCAAATCCTGGGCAACACAAGCAGGAAAGAAAGAAATGTATGAGCGTGGTGGGTGCATTATGGTTTCTTTCGAAATGCTGCTTCTGTAGGCTGACCTGGTGAGGGTTCCAGTCACTGTCGAAGATTATGACAGTGTCAGCAGACTGTAGGTTGAGCCCCAGACCTCCTGCTCTGGTACTGAGCAAAAACACAAAGTACTCAGAGGCTGGGTCATTGAAGGATTTCAGCAGCAGCCCACGGTCCTCCGCCTTAGTCGTTCCTAAAATAGAAACACCAATTAGAAATGTCAATGGTTATTGCTTGAGGATTATTTGCTAAATTGGTAACGCTGTCCACAATCAAATGAAGAAAATGTAGAGAATGCATATCCCAAGTTTTATTAATGGTACAGAGAAGTGAGTTACCATCCAAGCGCAGGTACTTGAAGTTGCGGAAGGCAAAGTAATCCTCCATGATGTTCATGAGGGATGTCATCTGACAGAAAAGCAGCACTTTGTGGTTCGTGGCCCTGAGTTTGGGCAAGATCCTATCCAGCAGTTCAAACTTCCCAGAGGAGCGGTATAGTTCCGGTCTGTACACATCAACAATTTATTGATATTATAGCCATATTGTTTGCAGCAGCACTAAAATAAGCACTACTTCTTCAATATTCCACAGCCATACAATATTTGTATTTTATAAAACAACTTAATATTTAGATTTAATATAGTTTTGTATTTGTAATGTCTGGAGGAAGCAGCAATGCATGCAATATGTATATTGTCCATAGCGACTGGCCTCTTATTTTATATAATTGTGTCCAACACCCTGAAAAAGCTGGGAATATACGCAACAACATGCATGTAGTCCAATGACTGTAGATCAAAATACATCTTTACTTTATCCATAGAAAATACATATAGTAGTCATAGATACCCTGTTACAACTCCATTGGAGAAGCCAAGATGTTCAGAGAAGGATTCCTGTGAGACAAAAAATTTATAAATAATAGTATCCAAAGGAAAGTCAGTTTATGGAGTATGAAGTTTTGTTAAACGCATTCAATGTATGCACAAGTTTTGTGAAAACGTAATATTTCATATGTTGATCTATGTCTTTTATAAGTGTTATTATTGCTTATTGTATAATTTTAGTTTCTAAAATCAAGGTGATGTTAAAAATATAAAAGTGAAAAGTGTGATATACCTCAATGTGCTGGAACATGAAGGGGTGGTTACAAATCTTCCTCAACTGCATAATGGTGTTCATCAGAGTCTTCGTACCACCTTTACCCTGGAATCAAACATTTCAGACATTACATAAACAATATATTATCTGTGGCCTGCTGTGTAAATGTATTGCACATTGGCCATATACCTTCTTATCCTTCTCTGATCCATCTGTAAGCAGCACTCCCTTGGCCTGCATGTGCCTGTACAACACCCTCTGAAGAGCTGACATGTCGCACTTGATTACATACTCCACCTACACAAAAATTAAAATACAGGTAACACAGGTAAATCTATGACAAGCATTCAAGAGAAAAAATAATCTTATTAAGACTGATAAAATGGTAACATAAAGACCTTTTCAGGCAGCTGGGCCTCCACCTCTTTCTTGAGTCTTCTCAAGAGGAAAGGCCTGAGAACTTTGTGAAGACGACGGATGATCAGAATGGTCTCCTCTTCATTTAGATCCACCTAATGTGTGAGACCAATAATACGTCATGTACATAAAATATAAATAATTGTCCTAGAGCAGACTAAAAACTACAACTTTATCAGTATCAGAAATCCATTGGCAAAGACACAATGAACATATAATTCAGCATATCTGACTAAATTTATTGAGCCTAAGCAACTGACCTTCTCTCCAGTCATGGCGAAGGGAGCATTGAACCACTGCTCGAAGGTGCTGCAGCTCTTGAAGATTGTGGGCAGTAGGAAGTTGAGAAGGGCCCAGAGCTCGGGCAGCTTGTTCTGGAGAGGCGTTCCAGTCAGAAGCAGACGGCGAGGGGCCAGGTAGTGAGTGTTCAACACCTGAGTCAGTTTACAGTGGTGGTTCTTCATTCTATGGCCCTCATCCACAATCATGTACTTCCACCGAAGCTGAGGAGCAGCGAGGAGACAGTCACAAACTTGTCCAACAGGTGAGGCAGTACAGTTTATGAAGTATATCTCATTACCTTAGCTAGCACTTGTTTGTCTTTGATGATGTACTCGTATGTAGTGAGCAGCACATTAAACTTGCCACTGCGTAGAATGGGAACAAAGGCACGGCGAGCACCTGGAGAGCCCTGGAATTAAACAATCAAAAACAATTGTGATTCAACTGCATCTTCAGAAATGCTAAATGTGAAATGTTGATATAAATATTTGAACATCTCTTGGTTTTTCCCCATGTTGAACACATCTTACTTAATTAAACAGATATATTATTGACCTTGTAGGAAACTTTGACAACTGATGGCGCCCACTTATCAAACTCCAGCACCCAGTTTGATAGAGTTCTGAAAACACAAGACAAGCTTTAGACTGCGGCCTTCAACACAATCTTAGTGTAGCAAAAGGTTTTAGGTCCAGAACCATCAAACTTTAACATTGTCCCAGTTAAAGGCCTCTAAAGTCATTCACAAAAATTAGAACTTTAGAATTAGACTCAGATTTAGATATCAGATATTATCAGTATATCACGTTGGTACTCACGACAGAGGTACAATGACGAGGAAGGGTCCATTGATGCGCTTGTACTCCATGAGGTAAGTGACGAGTGCAATGGTCTGGATGGTCTTGCCCAGGCCCATTTCGTCGGCCAGGATGCCATTGAGGTTGTTGTTGTAAAGAGACACCAGCCACTCCAGACCTTTGATCTGCGTATACATTATCCAGGTTAGAATCCATCAAAAAGAAAAAAAAACACTTTTTGCCATGGCAGTAATAAAATATGAGAAGACAATGATGATTTACAAACATGACATTTCGGATAAACGAAAAGACATTATTAGCATTTTGGAAAGTGACTCTTAACTGAAGCCAAATGATGGCACAAACAAGTAAAATGTACTTCAAATGTAAATTGGAGCGGAAATAATTATTTTTTGGGAACAAGATTTCATAAACATATTTAGCAATATTTGGTCTAAACTGTAATTTAGGCCATTCACAATTATTCTGGAACATGGATTGCAATAGAAAGAAGACATACTTAAGAGAAGCAATTTAACATTAATTCTAAATGTGACTGATGTATATTAGCATATCTACAGTATGGGTCACTAATTGCATTTGTTAACAAGGTATAATTACCTCTTGCCTTTATATTTGTGATGAGAGTTTTTTTGCAAAAAAACCCCAAAACTACTATAAAACAAAAACAACCAAAAAAAAATTCCCACACCTCCCATTATTAGAAATCGAAATGCAAATCACTTTTGGTCTGTAGTCATTCTGAACTGATATTTCATTTGCATAATAACAGTTTAGTGGCTAGTACAGTTGGCTAGTTTGTTTACCTGGTATTGTTTGAGTGTCCCATTGACCATGAGAGACGACTGTTTCTCCACCTTCTCAGTGACAGCATGGGCCACAGCGTAGTATGACTGCAGCCCTTTGTTGAAAGACTGGCTGCCATACTCATCATCCACGTCCTGCTTGGCGTGCCTGGAGAAAACAAGAAGGAATCACTTGTCAGAAATGTACAGATGAGGCCTAATCACTTAAAAAGATATCGATAATATTACAGTACTAATAATGGTATGGCAGAGTCTAAATTTTGAGCAGCTTTAATCCACCTAGTTCATGTTTATGTCTGGGTTTGTCTTTGTCAAGTCATTTGGCTTGGCGATGTGAATTAGGCCTTGTAGTCAGGTTATATATCCTTTTAGAATATAATGTCTCACCAAAAATACCCTGGTATAGAAATGTCTAGAGGGCCGTTCACACCAAAGCATCAAAAAACGCCTTGACGCCTCTATTTGGATGCCTTTGCATTTGAGTTTAGACGCCCCAGACGCGCGTCTTTGACGCCGTGGACGAACGGGAGAAAAATACTTGACGCGCGTCCGTTGCCCTGGAAACAAGAGCCCGGTCCCGCTCTTTTCCCGAAACAATGTCAGACCAGACTGATAGAGTGTTTTTATGACATAAAACATCAGCGGAGATCGGGTCGACGACTGGGGCGTATATATATTTATACTCTGCTAATGACACTGGATCAGTCCTGGTCCAGGCGATCGGCTCGGTGATTGTGGCGTATATATTTATTCTCCGCTCATGTTTGTGGCTCTCGCTCTGGTTCTCGGGTCTATCTTCCTGATAATAACGTCGCTGCGTCACTGGATACTCGTCCCTGATTGGTTGACGCGGCGCGTCTGACACGAAAAGTTCAGCATTTTCAACTTCTGGACGCGCGTCTAGAGCGCAGATTTGCGCCTCGTTGATGCCGAACATGCACCGCAAAAACGCAGGACGCTCTAGTCGCGTCTCCACATAGACTTTACATAGAAACTGGACGCTTTGACGTGAATGGTGAAAGTGTGTGAAAGTTTAAATAAATTGTACCCTGATACCAAATAACTGTTCACACCTACTAATTAGTGTTTTTAACCAGAGACATTTCATCCTTCACCCACATTTCCATCCTCTAAAGTGGTTAACATAGCATAAAAAAAAATATATATATATATACAGAAACATACTCAATGATGTGTCGAACATCAACTTCAGACACGTCTTCACTGTCTGGGTCTGGGATCTTCTTTTTCTCCTCTGATGGAGCTGTAGAGGTATGAGGCTCCTCTTCATCCTCCTAACACAAACAAAGGCAAGTTCAGACAAATACAAAATACAAGGAAGTGGGGATGAGGTCCATTCAAAACATACCTCTTCTTCCTCTTCCTCTGACCCACTGTCTTCACTGTCTGATCGAGGAGCTACTTCATATCTGGAAAAAAAAAGGATACAGTATTTGACAAAACATTCACCAATTAATTTGTTTTTCTAAATGCTAGCTGTACATGTGGTCCTCTAAAGGATAATGAATGTGCGCTGATGGAAAATAAAATGCAAATCATGTAGCAAATATTGTAGTTTGATACAATAAGAGGGGTAGGTTTGCTTTATAAATACAAAAAGACTACAGACCCTGGGTTCATCTCGAGCCATGTCTCCAGCTGACCAGACTTGGGAGCATCCACCCCAGTCAGAATCTTTCCACTGTCCACATGAATCACCTTCACAGGGAGGTCACTCATCTGGCTGGTCTCATCCAAAGGCTACAAGACAAAAACAAAAAACAAGTCAGTCCAATACAATACAATTTATTTATTTTAGTTAGGTTAAATTTAATAATTTTGACACCTCTCCATCAGGTCCCAAAGCAGCAGTGCCCCCTTCCGTAGCTTCAGGCTTCTGCAAATAGAAACAAAATGTAAAAACCTCAACATCACATGTAAAAATGTTCTGAAATAAGTCTCATACCTTCTTTTTCTTCTTCTTTTTCTTTTCTTTAAGTGCTTGTGCAGCCTTGTGAGCTCGCACCAGCTCTGTGAGGTTTGCCACATACTCGTCTGTTTGCTGCAGCAAGTACGCCAAGCGCTTGTCTTTCTTCTGGTCGATAAGTTTACGGTAGCCTTCTTCATCTTCAGCCTGGGGACATTAAACACTTGTGATAAAGAAACACTCAGGAGCTAAAAGCCAAGAGTTTCCACATTAGATGATGACGTACCATCAGCCTCCGCATTCTCTCCTTTTCAATGCGCTCATTCTCTTTTTTCTGCTCGCGTTCAGTGTTGGCATGGTAGGTAGCAACAGCTTTTGTGGCCTTCTGGATCTTGGCAGTGATGGAACGATGGTACTCCTTGAAGTCCTTGGCATGTTGAAGGATGCTATTGAGGTATTCCTATCGGCAGGTTATGTAAAAATAAGTTTAAATCCAGTTCAAACTCAGTACTGAATAAAGTAGGATTTTCACATACTTGGTGCTTCTGTCTGCGTTTACGCTCTTGTTCAATTTTCTGCTGTTTTTCCAGCTTCTCCGTGATCCGAGCCTCACGCAAAGATTGGCGTTTGCTGCGTTTGTAAGCCTTGGCATTGAGGGCAGTTTCCAAAGAGGTGTCCCGGCGCATGCAAACCACCACTTCTTGCCTCAACTGTTGAAAGAAATTAATTTACATATGAATATAACCGTTCTTAAGAGAATAATGTTATTATATATATTTTTTGTACCTGTCTCTGGAAATTGAGCAGTCTGAGGGCCTTAAGTTCTATGGTGGCTTTAGTGCGGAGGTCTCCAGCCAGGGACCCAGGCAGGTTCTCCAGCTCCTGGATACGATGAGCTATTCTTGCCTGAAGCCTGAGAAAACAAAGCAGTAATGTTCAGACATAGGTCATCATGAATTACTTGTATTGTTTAGTGGCCTTTACATGTGCTTCTTTCAGTATGCCTTTGCTTGGTATTTCATGGTTTGTCAGAACAGATGTTGTGAAAGATGAACACTGTGCTTAGCCTGGTTAACAAAGTGACTACAATGCTGCACAACTAAGAGGTATAGTAAGCACAGCTCAGCACTTAACCTGGGCTACTGTTTAATAATAAAAAATAAAAAAAATTATATAAATATATATATATATATATATAGATACGTTTCTTAAAAATCTTGAATGCTTGCACAATAATCAGTTTCTCCATCCTTTCCACCCTATATCAACTGAATGTCAATCCAATTTCCATTCTGTGCCCGTCTCAGTATCATCATATGATCAAATACTTGATAATAATGAATTTTCCTCACCTGTATTCCCGCTCTTGAAGAATCTCAACTGGGTCCAGCCCGCGAGGCTTCTGGATGGGGGTGATACGGCTCTGCTTCATCATCATGGGAGGAGGCTGGGCAGGCTGGCCGGGGGACTGGGTCTGTGGAGGTATTACCGGAGAGGCGGCTGGAGGCACTGAAGGTGGAGCAGGAGAGGGTCTGCCTGTGGGCTGGGGAGGAATCATCTTTTGAGGGCCGCTAGAAGGAGCAGCAGCATTCACCATGGGCCCTACAAATACAAACACAAAGAGTTTAGGGTATTTAAAGTCAGAAAATCAGACACAAAATAAGAAAAATACCTTCAGGCCATGATTTAGGAGGTCCATTGGTTGGCTGACCTGGCATACCCGGAGGTACTCCAGCAGGTCCAGGGGGAGCCATATTGGGCCCAACCATACCTGAAGATGGAAATGAGCACATAACATGAAACTGTATGCAGAAAGGGGTAGCTGAATAAAGGTGTTCCTTAAAAAACAAAACAAAATACAAACAAACAAAAAAATATATTGTGTGTGTGGCCATAGTGTGGTTGGCTTGGTGGCTTACCGTGTGGTCGGTTATAGTTTCCCTGAGGCTGTGCAGGCCCTGCTCCTGGTGTCCCACCAGGCACAGCAGACGTGGGCATGTTAGGCATGGGTCTCTTGCCCTGCACTGCCATTTGCAGGTGCTCTGGGAGAGGTTGGCTGCGCGCTAACATCTTGTATGCCATGATTTGAGCCCTGAGTTGGTGCAGTTGGTTCTGGTTGAAGGGTGTAGGCCCCCCTGCACCGCCCTGTCCTGCACCAGGTCCAGCAGGACCCGCTGGACCGGTGGGAGCGCTGCGGTTGGCCTGAGCCATTGCCTGGCTGGGGTCCCCATTTGTCTCCATGGGACCAGCCCCAGGGCCAGAGGGAGCACCGGGCATCATAGGCCCAGAAGGTGGGCCATTAGCTGGGACAGGGCTGGGGGCATGCTCTGAGCCACCCAGTGGTGAGGGGTAACCTGCAAAGGGAACACATCTACAGTCAGTATGTTCAGCATAATCCACAGGCAAACTTGTGTATGGTACACAGAGCAGAAAGTGTTGCTTCCCCAAAAGCTGAGCTACATAAACTGTCACTATACTGGTGTCCTGACTCGACTCTCATCTCACAAATGAACAATGCCAAAGCAGAGAAACTGGTCTGATGGGTTTGTTCCCAGGTGAGAGCTTTTCTTTGAACAGAAAGACAGTAAAAAGCAATAGAGTTTCAGACTTTGATTATAAGCACGTATTTTTAACCTACAATTTAGAATTAGGAAGTTGAGCAATGTTTAGCTAATATCTGTTTCCTTGTGCACTTTGTAATCACCATTATTCTTCTATCTTTATGTTAATGATCATGGCCCAATGGTCTTCTTGACATATTCACTGTATTTATTAGTCATTTTTATTGTTGCTTAAACCCATACAATACTGCACTGTAAAATCTGTTAAAAAATCTGCCCTCCTAGAGACAGAATTACCCTCTCTAAACACTCTGATACCTGCAGCAGATTACTATAAGTTAATGCATGTTTACTGCATCTGTCACTATCAAATAAACAATAAATAAATACATGCACTGAATCACAATTGCATGTATAATAGACATCTTTCTGCAAACCATTCAGCTCATTTCATGCCTAGTATATAACTCAAATATCAAACCTTACCCTGGGAATGTTGGTCCATGGGGCTTGGTGGAGGTCCCATACCAGGATGTGCACCTGGTCTCATCCCCATGCCTTTCATCTGATTATAGCGGGGATCATCAGACATCCCCTTGTCATGCATGGGCTCCATGGGCTGAAAAATATTTATGTACATGATTTTAATCATAAGAAACTCAGAATAAAATCTGTAAATAAAGCTGGAAAACCTCAAATGTGTCCCAATAATTACTCCTTGTGTGAGAAGTTTTAATTGTAATATGAAATTAAAGTGAATCTATGATTTCACAGGACATTTTCATCAAACAATATTTTATCACAATATTTTTTCTCCCAGTTATAACAAGAACGCAGATTTTCACATTATTCTATCTAAAAAGTGAAATATAATTACATACCTTGTGCATCTGGTGCATGTTTTCCTGAGGATATCCTGTGGGTCCCTGAGAGGGGTGTGGAGGTCCCGGACTGGGTCCCATCATGCTGTGGGCTGAACCTGGAGACGGGCCTCCCGGAGAGGGCCCTGGGCCCGGGGAGGGACCGGGCCGAGGGGTCCCTCCCATAGGGGGGTCCGGAGTGGACATGTCTCAGGAGAGAATCTGGGAATGTACGGGACAACCAAGGTCCACTGGAAGAGAGATTTGAGACAGCGATTTAGCAAAATGAATTTGCCTTTTGGAAAAGAGGTCTCCATGGTTGCGGTTTTGTAACATCCCAGCATCTTTACCATGACCCTGCTGTGTTTGCGATGGGTTCAAGTAATATGTCTACTGATATTAAGCATATTTGAATTATAGACTTCATCACTAATGTAAAACAAAAGCAATTTCTAACCCCCTTGAAAAAGCCCCATATATGATTCACACAAACATATCTAATCTGCAAGTACTAAGAGACAGAAGCAAAATTGTTTTATAGAGCAGCATTTCCAAGATTAAATGCAAGACATCAGACTATTACATTGGCAAAGAAAAAAAAACAGCATTTCCTAAAAGTATCAATTTCGAGCAATCACAGGCGCATACTCTGGCCACTGTCAGTGGGCCTGCCCACACAGAAACCTCCAAATGTTGTCGGATAACAACCCGGCTGAAGCTAAACAGTGATTTCTGCACTTTTAAAGTTGAAAGTTGTATTATTCAAGTAAAAGTTGTTCAAAGTAGTTTTAGTTGGGTTATCTTAGCCGTGAAAATAGACTGAATATCTTAGCGTGCCGTTAAAGCAAAAGCCTACATTTCCAGTCACACAGCCTGATCTCCAACTAGTTGGGAAGTGATCTTCCATTAAGAACAGGTTGTTTCTCATCTGTGTTTGAGACAGAATTACAAAATGCAGACAAAGTGTCCAAGACTACCTCTGCAATAACACAACAACAACACAAGCCACTGTTGACTGGGTTAGCATGCTAGCTGCTAGCTTAGCCGACCATGCTCTTTGAGGCCAATTAGTCAGATCAGACAGATGAGGAAATATCTTCAGAGAAGTGTAAAATGTTGAGCACATTCATGTGTGGAGTTGATTGATCCACCGCGCCTTCCGTACACTTGGCCAGCGCTCCGCTCTGAGCACATTTCCAAAAACTATTTTCATTCATTGCCTGAGCCGCGCCACGGCAGCGCCGCTCAATGTCGCTCTCAGCTTTTCACAAACGAAACAAAAGCGGTCAATATTCTCCGAAAGACAAAGGCATACTCATAAAAACAAGTGCCTGCCGCCCCAAAAGGCCTACAAGTAAAGTTTACTCACCCAAGTGCCCGAATGTGATGTTTGAAAACTCGCCGGTCGCAGTGTCTCAAGATTTTCCTCCCAACCAGAAACAAAGAGGAGCCAGCCGAGCCCGAGCTGCCCGTGGTTTCCCTGCTCTCCCCCACAGGCCTCCGCGCTCCGCAGCGCCCCCTACAGTATCGCGCAGATAGGGCAGTGGGGGAGGGGAGACACAACATCATGAGACAATCGACAGGCTGGGCGAGAAATCAGATGCTTTTCGGATTTCAGGGACAATTTATGAAACAAAGTTTTTAAATTGCTAGGCTAAATTTAAATTTTTAATAATCCGTGCTGCCATGAAATCTTGCTGTCCGTCTGCAATTCCCAAAGAGATTGCAACCTGAAGTCTTACATTTTAGAGCTTGTTGGTGCTACTTAGGCATTAATATTAGAAAATAGTGTACCAGTCTTTATTGTGGCTTGAAATAGCACATTATTTCTTAAAGAATTGGAGGCTTATAGTTCAAAGCAAAGCAAAATCTTCATGTGGGTCAACAGAAACCTTTAACATTTGAACTTTCAAAACGCCCATCTCATAATTCTGGACATAGGCCTATGCCATAAAAGCTCAAACCTTGGAATTTGGTCTTTTTTTTTTTTTTAATCAAATAGACAATGGACAGCTGTGTAAATTTAACTCTAATTTATCAAGCTATTTAAGACTGCCATATTATCAATTATGATTTAAAAAAAATATTAAGAACTAACTGTACTTACTTACCTTGTTTGGTAGGCCTATGTGCTAATTGGCTGTGTAAATAAGGATGACATGATTATCTTCTTAAGACCTCAAATCCTTGCCACTGTCCCTTGTCCAATTGGGTTCAAGCAGCATGCAAATGCAGACAACAACAGAAAAGAACAGGAATAGGGTACAGGGATGACTCTCTACAGCTTTAGCATGCATGTTTGGAGGTACCAAGTGACAGGACTCATGATTTCTCTGGGGATCACATTTCTTACATTTTTTATAGGCACTCATCTCTTACAGGTGACTGACTTATGACACAATGTCTGCAGTTTAGAGTTACCCTACTGGAGTCTTGTATTTTAAGAAATTGGCTTTAAGGGGCATATTTTCACATCAATATGGAGTAGGCCTATTTCAAACTAGGATAAGTATAGCGATATTTTTGACAGTAACCTACAATGTCAGTTTTGCAGGTTGATATTCCATGTCTTTGGTTACAGTGTTGTTGTGTAGCTGTCGCAGTTTGAAGATACCAGAGAGGTCTGTGTTTGAACACTTACCCTATACCCACCCTATACCCTAACTCATCTCATATAATATAACTCATCTAATACTTTTAAATATGTGGTTTTAATCACCAATAACAACATAGGAAACTCAGTTACTGAATTATCACTTTATGATTTAAAAAAAAAACATACAACAAATCTTGTCTGAAATGTGGCAAAGGAGAAATTCAATTTGTCAACTGGACAAAGGTTTATTTGGTCGAATACATTTCACAGCTCATCCAAGCTGCTTCTTCAGTTCCAAATAAACTTTTGTTTAAAAGGTCTAAAAACTGTGAATTGTGTGAATGAAACCAGGGGACTGTAATATGTAATATGGCAGCATGTCCTTTAGGACATTCCAAGGTCATCAAAACATGAAAATGTTATTCAGGAATACACTGTTGCAGTGTAGTTAAATTAAATTAAGTTTGACATGGGTACTTTAACAGTGGACAGGTGTTCACTGTTGTTGTGATAATTTGCGCTTAAAATCTAAACCAAGGATTATCTCAAACAAGTACTCTTACTTACCAATGCATGCAAATAGTCTCCATTACCAATGCATAGACGGGATTCCACAAAGCATTACTGCAAACTTGATTACTTTAGATAATAATATCCACATAAGACACAATTAAAACAGGGAAGCAAATCTAACATATAATAATACAAGTGCACGATGTTCTTTTCCCACAAACCCTTTATTAAACAAAAAAAAATGACATCAGTTGATTTCTAGTCAGAACAGATTCATTAAATTCACTTTAAAATAATAATTCAGCAGAGAATAAATCATTTTGAGGTCTCAGGTACCTGCCTCATATTGTGCTCCAGAGTTTGCCTGGAGTCAGTCACATGTTTACAGAAATCCCGTTTTCTAATCCATTCACACAGATTAAGCTCATGTGAGGGCACATCGTGTCACATGACTGCAGTGTGCATCCTGGACTGTAGCAGGTTTTACATGAACCATTATTAAATTATAGTTATATGTTTGTATATGGGCTCACACCCACCTGACCTGTAGTGTTGTTCTGCTACTATAAATTAAATAAGCCCCTTATAAAACAATAAATAGAAATAGAAAAAATCTTTAAAACATGGTAGTGTACATAGAGTTAGAGTAGAACAAATTCGTCCATGCTGCTGGTGGTGGGCATTCTCTTCCTCGAGCTCTTCCTCTGGATGTAAGTGAGGTTAGTGGACATGCTGCCAGTTTCCTCCTGTGGACCAGGGCCCTCCTCGAAAATGAACATGGGATATGTGTCAGTGGATGTGAGCAGAGCCTGTGGAAGTACAGATTATGAATACATGTACTGACAGTTAAAAAGGGCTTTTTAACCTAAAACGTTTGAAGCATTGTCTTTCCTAAATTAGACTATGAATGTATTTGAGAAATAAATATTGTTCCTTGATTCATAGTATTTGCTCTTGATTTGTTCTTCAGTTGAAATGTGTCAATGTACAACCAACTGTCCAACTCTAGTAGCTTACCTCAGTGACATCTTTGCAGAGTGTTTCAAAGTCATTCTGATCTTTGGCATAGAATCCTATTGCACAGCTGGGGTCCATTTGAGAAAAGGGAATCTTCTTTGGGTGTTTACAGTGAAACGACTGAATACAAATTAATTATTATTATTATTATTATTCTTTACATTAAACAATTTTTGAACAGAAGCCTAAGGTGTTCACTTCATACCTCTAAGGGAAAGTTGCTCTTTCTCACATCCACGGTGGGCTGACAGTAGTGAGGGTCCAGATACAGCAAATAGTTATCTTTTAAATGAAAATGATTCAATTATTTGAGTTTACATTAGAGACATTGCATAAAATAAGCTAATACCTTGATAGCCAACAAAAAACAGCGAGTGCTTCGGCTTCCCCCCAATAATTCCAATGCAGCAGTGCAAACCGAGCAGTTTCTATTCATAAAAAGGTGTTTATTATTGTTATGTGGCTGGTTATACTACTATAATATCTACACAAAAGCATAAGGTCATAGAAAAAAAAATAAAAAATCAAGAAATAATATTTTTGCATACTTTAACACAGGAGATGTAGTTGGGGTTGAGTTCTTGTCCCCCAAGCCGTACAGGAACCAAGATGATGACAGATGTCCAGAAGGTGGCACTGTTGGAGCCAGGCCACTCACACAAACTGCTCACATCCTCTTTGTAGACTAACCAACACATTGGCAAAACATGAATTTGCATGGTGGAAATCTAGTACTCTTCATCTCTCTCAGTTGGCTTGTTAAAGATGTGTATGTGGTAGTGGTAAGGACATTACTAACCAGTGCAATCTTGTGCAACATACACAGAGAGTCTGGGAAGATCTGGGGATTTAGTCACAGCTTTCCTGAAACAGAAATTACCCTCTTAAAATACAAATATTACATGTGAAATAAGTATTACAGATGTACAGTACACCCACCTGAGTATATGTGCCACTATGGAGGGTCCATACCAGTCCCCTGCCTTCTTTCCTGAGCTCTTCCCCAGATCCACCAGTGTATGTATCCCGAATGGAGCAGACAGGAGGTCTGCAAACCAGGACACCACCCTCCTGTGAGTGACCTCCATGGGTCTGTCTAGCAGGGACCCCAGGCTCAACTGTCGACCCAGTTTACTGTTTCTGTGTCTCTGGTCTGAGCCAACTGAAGGGTGGCCATCCTGGAGGTCCATATCGTCTTTTACTGAGTGGAGGCTGGGAGTCCAAGACCAGTCTGCAATGATCAGATCTCAGTTGTAAAACAAAAACCCTAAAGATGGTGGTGGTTAAATACCCATACTTGCAATCTAAACTAGTATTGGATGATAATCTTCTGTATATTGTATTATTACTCATGTTTTGACCTGGAGGCAGCTTGTGTAACACTATTCCCTGAGCGAGCAGCATTTGTCCAGTCCTGAGCATACAGCCCCAGCCACTGTCAGTGGAAAGGCCACAGCCAGGGAGAGGAGGAAAGCCTCTTCTGTAGGTGAACCACAGCAAAGACAAGAACGAACAACGAAAGTGCTCCCTGTCACCTAGGACAAATAAACAACACACACACATATTACCAATGGCATGCTTTATCTAATTTATGAAAATTAAAGGAAAACTACTATTAATTATTCAAATTATGTAGCAGCCTACCACAATACTGAGAAATAACTTGCAAAGAATAAATATAAAAAAATAAAAATAATATTTACTTTTCTCATAGTCTCATAGTTGATCTACTTTATAGCACAGAAAAGGCAAATGTAACTTCAAACCTTTGTACTCATAAATGCATACAGATCACATGTAAAGCAAATACAACCCACTCCACAGGGACTTGTGTTCTTTATTTTCAGTCCTTTTTGAGGAACTAAACAATAGTCCGCTGTCTAACACTTTAAAAAAACACACACACAAAAAAACTTACCTGGATGTGTCAGCTCATATGTCTTCCCAAGCATAATCACTGGTGAACTTTTCTTGAATTTGGATTTCTGTTTGAGTGACCAAGGAGATACTAGGAGGGAAATAAGAGATTTTCAACATTTTTGCAACTAACAAAGGAACTAAAACTACAGCCAGAAAAAACATACAGACCATATTTGAGGCTGTTCCATGCTGAGAGCAATTTAGACTTGAGTTTCCTTCGGTCTGTCTCTGGCTCCTCTGTTTGGCCCACACTCAGGCTGGGAGGTGAGGCAGACTCTGAGGACAGGAACAGCCACTCGTCCATAAAGTCTTCTTCTGTCAAAGACTGGCCCTCACACTCTGCCGTGGACATACTGTTATCCATGTTTACAGCTTAAACACAGGATTCATGCTCACATATTGGCTGAGCTGAAAACCAATAGGAAGAACATTACTTTGCTTTGTTGGACTTCACATGTGACATAAGTTTGTCGATCTGTGTGACCAACTTCATTAATCACAGCAAAGCCTGAGACTGGGGAAACCATGTGATTTGGGTTTCAGTAAAGTGTGTGGCTAATACTGCATACACTGTGCCCTAAAAGAGAACAGATTTGCAATTAGGACAGAAAAAATGTACTGTTGCCCCATAAAGCCACAACTCCTCAGTCATCAATCACATGGAATAAGAAATTTCTGTATTAACAACTCAATTAACCATAGTCACAAGAATCTGCCCAGACATACCACAACATTAAGAACTAACAAAGGCTGAAAAGGCTGACACGCTTTATATTGAACTGAAAACTACAGTGATTAATTACTATGCCAGTCGTTTTAAGCAGATACACGCCTATTTCAAAACAAGAGAGCGAAGAAGCAACTTCTGGTTACCACGAGTTTCTTGTGTAGTTTGAGAAAGGTTGCTGTAACCTAAATAGCAAATTAGCAAATTCACTTTTACAAAAAAATTACTCATTTCCACTTAGACATTGTGCCTAACGATACTTTTATAATAATGTACTCTGTTCTCCAGTTAAACAGAGAAAGTCTCCTCTGAACTCGACATTTTGCTTGATTTTTCATGTTACCTTCATGGTCCCATCTTTCTTCCATCCTCCTCATACCGACGATCCGTTGTCTTGTGCTACATAATCTACATAGTAAGTCTTGTTTTTGTCTTTACCTGTAAAAATTAAATGGCAATTTATGCGGTCAGCTACACTTCCTGTTTGTCCTCGTCACGTGGAGACTCTATAATGATTGGTCACGAGGAACCAATGGGAGGAGACACACTCTGGACTCTGATGTGAAACCATGTACCATGTTTATGTAATTCATATATCTACTCTTTATATAGTCTACGTATTAAACCACTGGTCAATCATTACTCTTGGTACATTGATGTACAAATGAAACTTTAACTTCTTAGACTGTCTAATTTAACTTTATTTAACTTTATATAAATTTAACTTTAAGTTAATATAGCTATCTAGAGTTTGGATGAAACACAGGTGAGTGTAGTAAATATTTCAATTCAATTTTAGTAGAATGTATGTTTTATATTTTTAAAAGGAAAAATATATGCATACTGCCAGTGCTAACAGAAATAGTGTACCTGAAACACATCACTAAATGAAAACAAAATAAACCATGACAAATAAACCAGTTTGCAAAACTTAAATTTAAATTGTTTTATTTTGTCTCTTTGTGTGGCTTTTTTGCAATGTATTTTTCACAACAATGGCTAGCAATTAGGTACCAACAGAATGAAAAAGAGCAACAATATTCAGAGATAGTTGTTGATGTACAGAACACAGAGCAGACATGACATGGTACCTTTTAGCTTCAAGGAATAATAATCTTAACGGTAAACCAAATGGATTTGGTAATCCTCATATTTGAAAACATGACAAATCAAAATATGAATACAAAGATGTAAAATAATAAATAAAATGTTATAAATAAAACATAGAAATAGGCTAAATAGCACAAAATAAAGTGCAATTTTATCACATAACACAAAATCAGTCAGTGCACTAATGATGGTTTAAATATGTTTTAAACCATTACATTGGATACACTATGACATTTATGGAATATGTGTTCATCTTTTTTCTTTTTCTACCAGAATCAAAAGACTGAGATATTCACAAGAAGACATCTTTTACAATTGAAAATATTTGTCAATCTTTTGGTCTGATTTAGTCCACCAGGTGGCAGTCTTATACAACTCTGAGCCATCTATCCACAATTGTCTTTTATTTTCTAACATCTTAGACAATCACAAACTCACCACTAAACTGACAATCTAATCCAGGCTTTTTTCTTTTTTTTTTTTATTAATCTACAACTGACCAGGTTGGTGCTCAGTTTGGTAGAACCGGGCACTGTTGGATTGCATAATATTCTACATATTGTAAACAAAAATAGCACAATATCCCTAAATAAAACACTGGCACTTTTTTACACATAGCAATAAAAATTACATATATTTGAATGGATAGAAAAAGAGTGAGTGGTTACTTGTAGCCTATTTGTTGATAAGTGCTAGATTTTGTGGTACGTGGCGCACTTTCTGTATTTGAAATAACTCAAAAATCTGCAATAACATTTCTGCTATATATTCACACAAAAGGCTAAGGTATAAAACTGCACATATATCACCATGATGGATGTATGTTTGCTTGGATTATTGCAACCCTTTTCTTTCTCATTAACTGCTTCTCAAAGTCCCAAATGTAAACATAAAACCCGGGGACACCAAAATTGATAGGAAATTAGCATGGTGCCCCTGTGCAAGTTCATCTCATCTACCACAGAAATGCAGCCCTTTAAACAGATCCCAAACAAACGCCATTAGGAACGATTTGGTGTCTTGGTCCATGTCGGGGGTGATCTTAACTGTAAAGTGGACTCTGGGGAATTGAAAAACCCACACTAACATGGAAGAGGGAATTGTGGTATTATGACAGATTGAACTGACAAAAGCATGGTACTGGATTTGTCCATATGAAAACTGGTTTCTTTTTTCAACTTCTGCCAACTATTGTCACATGTTTATTTACTAACTAAAAAACTAAAAGTTTCTCAAAATGTCCTTCTTCAAGGTTTTCTTATTTCATAAGTAGGGAACGTTTTCTATAATTTAGAAATATTTTCAGTCAGGCTCTTAATATCATATTAATGACCTTTGATGCCAGATTGTTAAGATTTATGTTAAACGGCATATTTCACAAACAATGAACATTTGCTGTAATCTTCTCACAAAAATATCTGATGACAGAATCCAGTTTTCATACATTTTCTGTGGTGAAATGTCTTAAAATGTTCACAGTGTTAACTCCTTTAAGGTCCACTTTACCTTCCCTTTTCAGTATTATTCATGTACAATGTCAAACATGCATTAAGACATACGCGCATTACTATGCAACTATACACAATGTAGTGCTCAGGACATACACAGGCCTGTTTAATGATAGCCACAGGAGCTAATGCTGTTTGTTCACAACTTTATTTGAAAATCTTTTTGGTCTTTCAAGCATTTTCTTTTATTTTCAGATATTTTGTCCCTTTCAGTTAATTATGATATGTTGGTATGGCGCTACAGTAAAAGGCATTACATGGGAAAGTCTGTGGGAAAAGTCTTTGTCACTAGTGATGCTTGGCGCTTCGGCTGTTCGTTTTATCAGACTGGGCAGACTGACCACCTCTCCGCCCACCTCCGTTCTCAGATTTTCCTGCTGCATTTCCTTTCTTTTCTTCACTGATTTTGTCTTTGACTTTAACCCCTTCTTGTGACCCCCCTTTGATTGGCCCCAGTACAGTTTTGGCCACACTTGTGAGTTGAGTTACAAAGCTGTTTTTATCTCCAGGAGACATAGGCCTGGATTTGCTTGAGGATGGTGAGGGCGTACAAGAAGATGGAGACATTGGGTTTTCTTCTAGGGCCTCTAAGTGAGCTCTCTCGTCTTTACCTGTACGATAGCTACTGGCTGACTGCTTCTCAGATTTGTTCCTTGCTGAAGCATGTGTAATTCCAGCTTGAACCTGCGTTGGTGCTGGTGGTGCTTGTCCTTTCGATTTGGTAGTTAGACTTTTTTCTGTGCCTTCTGCCTTTTCTGATGTGTCTGAACTTTTGCGTGACTTGGCTGCAATGGGCTCTGCATTTTTCTGGGAGCTTGCCTTGTCAGACACAGGTGTAGTTTTTGTTTTATCTTCAACCTTGTCCTTAGCTTTACTACCACTGTCAGTTAGCACACTTTGAGGTTTGTTGTCTTGTTGCTTAGCCTTATTAGAATTTTCACCCAGTGCACTTAGCTGCTTACTATCTTGTTTAGCTTTAGATGATTGGTCTGTGGGCAGGCTCGGTTGCTTGCCATCCTGTTTTGCCTTAGCAGCATTTTCCACTGGTGTAATTTGTTGCTTACTGTCTTGTTGTTTGTTTTTATTTGCCTGGTCTGTGAGTGCATTTTGTTGTTTACCATCCTGCTGCTTACTTTTAGTCACGTGGTCTGTCTTGCTGTCTTCTGTCTTTTCACTAGCTCCACATTCTGCCTGCTTGCCATCTTGCTTTTTAGTTTTTGTCACGCTGTCTGCTTGCGCACTTTGCTGCCTGTCACTTTTTTCATTACTCTTTGAGACTGCTGACTCAGACTGTGAACTCTTAATGACTGTGCCTTTATCCACATTGCCAGATTTTGTTTCAGCTGCAGCTTCCAATGTTTTTTCTACATGTGTTGTAGATGTACTCCTCACAGTACTGGCATCTGCGTTGCAGGTTAGTGGCCCTTTAAGTTCAACCGCTTGAGTGTCTTTCTCTGTAGTTGTGAGTATAGATTCGCGACTCAGAGGAGATTCTTGTCGTCCCATTCTCCGTGAAGGTTTTAACCCTGTGATTTCTCCTCCCAGTGGTGGTGATGGGGATGATGAAGATGATGGCGAGGGAGGAGCAGGTCCATTTTCCCCTTCAATTTCTAGCAAACTCTGTAAGCTATGTTCACAGTGAAATGACTCCCTTCTGTAGTCACCATGGGTCACCTCCAAGCTGTGTTTGCGCAGGGAGACTCCACCAGTCAGAGGAGAAGGTGAGGATGAGGAGGAAGATGAAGATGGAAGGATAGGGGCCCCTAGCTTCTCTGCCGACTGCACCCTCTGCAGTAAAGGGGATCTGGGTGGTTCTGCGCTTTTGGGGCGAGGTCGCGACACCGGGGGAGAAGAGTGGAGTTTGGCAGGGAAGGTCTGAGTTGTATTGGAGCTGCCCACAGAGTGTCCAGAGAGCGGAGGAGGAGATGATGTGGTGGGGGAGGGGGTGTGGGCTAAGGGGGATAGGGGGATGTTGCCGGCAGACTTGCAGCGAGCTGAGCGGTACTGGCGATGCAGTTTGGGGGAGAGGCCATGCAGGGAGCTGGGCCTCATGTGGTGGGAGGTAGCGGGGGAGTTCGGGGTGCTGGAGGCCGGGGAGCTGCTCTGAGATGAGTTGCCTGAAGGAGAAACAGAAACAGTCTGTCAGCACCTGAGTCCTTAATCCACTTCCAAAAAAGGAAATGTCATATTTGACTTATGCACAGGAAATTTTTGTTTTGAGAAAAATTTAATTATAGAATCTGAATAATGTATATTGTTTTGCATGTAGTTCTTAATAGACAGTAAAGTTAGGATACTTACTAGACTTACTATAATAGACTAAAACAGACTTTATTGATCACAGAAGCTCCCACATTACAGTATAATAACAATGGGCAAAAAATGGTTATAAAATTCTAATAAATACAATTATTTAATTTTAATTTAATAGTTTTGTATTGTTGTATTAAATAATAAAATTATCTGTGCTCAAGAGTATACACAATTTTATCTAAGCAGTAAGTAAGAATAAATGAAACTAACTCCTCTGAAGTTATAAATATATTTGTTAATTATAAGAAAAGCTCAAAGTGTACCCATATAAGATGATTCGATGTTGGTGCGGTAGTTCTGCGTGGGGGAGCGCGCAGACAGGCCATGTGTGGGGGACCCGGGGAGACTGTCTCCAGATGACAGGGAGCGGTTCAGAGAGGACAGGCTGCGGCTGGTGTGGAGCAGGTTCGCCTGCTTGGTGATTTTACGGAACAACGAGTTGCGTTTCTTACTATAATATAAACAAAAGTATACATAGTAATTGCGATCAGAAAATAATAATGAATATAATATAATATAATAACAGATATTCCTTATATCCCACTATTTTCATTCACCACAAAATCTGCATATCATACATTCAAAAAACATTTTATCTGCACCAATTACAGGACTAGGATGCTGTTCTGATCTTAAATGCAGCATAATTGACGGGGATATTCTGTAGTCACTTACTCTTGTCCCTCCTTGGCGCCGCTCCTCTTACTGCGGCGAGCCATTTTGGATTTATAGCTGGTCTTGCGAGCAGGACCGACTTTAATAGAGGTATTCTCAAATGGTGTGGTTGTAACGGTCACCTTGTTCCCACTCTAAATATACAAACAAAATGCATTTTAAATTTTTTTTCAGAGAATTTGCATGATTATTCATTGTAAAATTTCCCATTGTATTTTTTCTGCAAATATAATGTGTAATGTAATTTACTACATTATGTGTTACCTTGAGAATGAGCTCCACCACCTCTGTGTGGACAAGCCCATGGACTGACTCTCCGTTCACATGAGTGATGAGGTCACCTGCACTCAGCCCTGCCTCCTGAGCAGGACCACCCTCCTCTACATGCTGAAAAACAAATACATTCATAATTCATAATTTTTAGTTTAGCGTTTCAAAGTCTCTCTCCAACTGCTATTGGAGCCTTTATAAAATGAAATAGAAGTAATTTGTCTTACCCAAACCATGTGATGAACACTGTACACATCACTGTCCCCCATGTAGACTCTGATGGCCCTGAGGGTGAAGCCATACTTTTTGCCTGAGCGGTGGATGGTGATGGGGGAGTGTAAGATGCTGACCATGGGGGAGTAGTCCCTGCTGGGGGAGGAGTCTCTGGACGAGGCGTTGGAAGAGAGAGAGCGAGGGGACATGGGGCTAGCCAGGAGATGCTCCATGTTGTTCAACTAGACACAAAGAATACATCTTCCATTAACTCATTATACTTTATTATGAATGCATAATTGCATGTAAAATTATTTTACCAGCAGGAATGATGACAGAAAGAGCAGTGGCAGAGGCAGATTTGATGACTTTACGTTTTTCTCCCTCTGTGGTGAGCTGGTGGTGGTGAGCTCTGCGCAGGACCAGGTCAGTGATGGCCCCTCGAGGCCCCTGAGCGTCTGGAAGTCCCAGGACTGTGGCACTGACTGGCAGAGGCAGAGAAGTGTCCGGTCTGAGCAACTTGTCTAAACAAATTTATAAAGAAAATTCAGCTGTTGTCCTCATGTTGGGATGTAATAAGAAACGCCACGAAAATTGTAAATATTTACCGCCTGATGTGATCGTTGCACTCTCTTTCATAAATGCCCTCAAATCTCCCTGGTTGTTTCCACCACCTGTAGCGCCCTCTAGTGACGAGCCCCTGGTCTTCCCTGTGCTCTGCTTGCTCTGCTCTGGATCTGAGGCCAGTCTGTGTGAATCCATCAAAGCAGAGAACCTCCTTCTGACTCCAGAAGGAGGGCTGGAGTCACTCTCTGTGAATGATGACTCCGAGCAAGACAGGCGCTTTCTGCAGAGCATACACAAATAAACATACACATTTTGAAAAATACATTTAATTTCTGAAATACTAATGTTCAAGAAATGATAAATTAATAGCATGTGTCTCCTTCTCTGGGTCAGACCTGAACTGACCTACATTAGCATCACTGGAGTATTATATAACTACACTGTACAAATAATGTCCAAATGTGCTTTAATTACAATAATTTGTAATTTAGGTATACCATTCTGTCATTTTATATGCTGCGTGTCCTATGCATGAGTAGCTTTTAACCTAGTCCTTCAGTTTCTGTGAATAATTCATAGAAATGTGCTGTTCGTTTAGCAGCACATTTTCACAGTGTAAAAAAAAAGTTGCAGTGACCTTGTGAGTTCGGCCGACTGGTGAATATTTCTACAAATGAAATACTAATCAACACCTACTGGAAACATTTGATCAGAGCTTTCAGAACCAGTGATTCAGTGAAAAGTAGATTTTACCACCTCTGATTTCACACTGGGAATATTGCTAAGTGAGATGGAATGGAGAAGCAAAATGTGTCAAGAGCTACTTCAGCCAATGGAAATACCACACCAATATCAGACTAAAAGAAATAAAACTCCTGGTCACTTGAATTGAACGAGACTGTTTTTCTTAACTTTTTTACCTTTTACCTCCTTTCTATCACTATTAGCCAACCACAGCTGGTTCCATTTGCTTCTCCAAGAATAAGCTCTCAGGTTTTATATAACTGCACTCGGTCTCGATTATGTTATTTTTTCATTTCAGCCGGTCTCATCTTAAGCTCATCTGCACATGAAAAAGTCTGTTGTTTCTTATTCCACTCACAGTTCTGGTGATCCAGTCCTCCAGCTCTTGTCTCGGAGTGTGAGGCTGCCCAGACTCTCCCTCTTGGCCATCCTCTCCACCCTGTCCTCCCGCGGGCCCTTGTGCTCTCGGAGGGTGACACCATGGGGCTTATGTTCCAGCTGAGACAGGTGCTCCATACTGCTGTAGACCTGTAGGCAGAGTACACTCACTCCACACCTGCTCTTCTCTTATGAATATTTAATACTTTTAACAGAGATTTTCCTGTACCTTGCTGAAGCGAGGGGAGCAGGACTGGAAATGGTGGATTTCCACGGGTTCATCATCATTAGTGTCATCCTCATCGTATGAGTGAATGTGGTGGTAACGCTCAGAACGAGCTAAGGAGAGAGGAACCAGACACAGTTGATATAGTATCCCAAAGGAGAAAAAAAAGGAAAAATATTGGTTTTAGCATTTTGTCTCACAGAACACTGAATACAGTTTACTTTCATTTACTACTAACTAAAACAGTTTGTCACTAACATATACTAACAATAAATGGCAAGCAAACAAGCAGAGGCTCACAGTAGCAAACTCCACTTTCTACTAGTTGAATCTGCACAGACACATATATGCTGCCAGTGTTCTCTCTGATCAATTACGCGTGTCTTATTTCCATGGCGAATGTACAGACAAGAACCATACATTAACCTGGGGCTCTAAACAGTGGACTTACTGTCAAAGTAACTGGTGTCCTCTTCAGACTCCAGATGAGGGATGAACTCTGCTTTCTGTCGGAGCAGGCTGTTCCAATCTACCTCTGAGAAGAATGGATGCTGCTTTACCTCAAATGCACCACCTGCACAGACAGAGAGAAAAGTGAGAACAAAGCAGAGGTATAAGGGTCTTTAGAGAAGTAACTGAACCAAATGCTACTGACCGGTGCCCAGTCGAATGAGCGGGTTAGGCTGCAGCAGAGAGGAGATCAGGTCCTGTGCTTCAATAGGCAGAGCTTCATCCCCGTCAGGCCACTCTATATCATCTACAAAAAACAATTAGTAGTAAATAATTGACTTGGATATTTTTGATTGTTGTTATACTGGTGAATATAAAATTTGTCCTCACCAGTGATGACTTGTCCAAACAGCTCTTCAGGAGTGTCTCCAAAGAAAGGAACACAGCCCACTAAGAACTCATAGAGGATGATGCCCATGGCCCACCAGTCCACGGGTTTACCATACCCCTGACGCAGGATGACCTCTGGGGCGATGTACTCCGGAGTACCACACACCTGGACCACATGGACAAGATGTTAAACAAAAGACTCCATCTTAAAGTAAAAATACATATTACATATTATTTAAGAGTAACAAGTTTCTTTTGGAGAATATGATTATTAATATTGCATGCAGCCTTTGTTCTAATGTTTTTATAATATTTGTTCAACCTTTCCTTTTTGAAATGAACAAACAAACAGTCTGTTTCTATGAATGCCAGTCCATATTTTTGTCTGGCGGAGCAGCCCACTCTTGAGATGCTGAGATAAAAGGGATGCTGAGATTTTCAAGTGCAAATGAACAGCACTGAGGAAGCCATGTTGGACAGGTCATAATGAGATACAGGGGAAACCAAAATATCTCAGCGAACTGTATTAATGATAGCGGACTAGTGGGCCATTCTTCTGTCAACTTTATTCCTTCCCACCAAATGACATGGAATATGTTTACATAGTAATGAGGACATCAAAGTATAATTTCAATTTAAACACAGCTTGGATTATAGCATCATGAATCACTACGTTACAGGAGAGTGTGTCTTGTAGGATTAGTTACAATGCATAATTCATACTTGTTTATCCAGGAACTCCCGGGTATCCTTCTCAATGTGCCCTTCGTACAGGTTTGTGGTGAGGTTCATCAGCCCGATCTTAGACAGGCCAAAGTCAGTCAGTTTGATGTGGCCCATTGATGTTATCAGAAGGCTGTAATAAGACATATTGATTGACAAAATGATATATATAAAAATAAAGCTATAAAATGTGGAGATATAGTTAACAGTTGTGTTTTGTCTAATACGTACATGAAAATAATGTTTTTCAATTTCACAAAAATTATTGTACTGGCAAATGATTGGACAAGAAACAAAACAAATTCTGTCTGTAAATTTGACTAATAATCCTTTATGTCTATTGCTTGGTGTAATTGACCCCATTATGAAGAACAAGTATAATAGAAAATTGTACGGGATGCTGGCTTTTAGTGCTAGAAAAAGTCTACTAGTGAATTAAAACTCAATGGCAGAAGATGGTTCTTGGTTTTGTTTCTCTCCATTACCTGAGGTGTTGGCTTCATCATAGGACATTTTAAGAAGACTTGGGAACCTTTTTTGATGTATACTGGACTTGAGATTTCAGCTGTTATGAATAGGGTATTTACATTTTGAAATGGGTGTGTCTGTGTCTAATATATGAATGGGCCATTTGTCTATTGTAAAAACTAAGAAAGGAAGTTTAGTTAAGTTAATTTCATGGTCTCACAATGTAGGATGTGACTGAAACAAATTCTATTGTGATTGACTGTTGCATATTATTGATAATCCCTGTAATACACGAACACTCTGTGACCTCTAGCACGTAGCCATTAGCTTAATATTCAATATTTACAGTTCTTACTTGTCAGGTTTGAGGTCACGATGCACAATGCCGTAGTTGTGCAGGTATTCTAAAGCCAGCACAGTCTCTGCAAAGTAAAGCCGTGCCATTTCCAAAGGCAGAGCGCCAATGTTCTTCAGAAGAGTGGCACAGTCTCCACCTGTCAGCAATACAAACATGTCTGTTAATGGGCAAGAAAACCCCCGACAATCATGTTTCTTGATACAACTTGTTCACCATTCACAATGACATTATATTGTCTTTCTTTAATGTGATCACAGCTTTTCCACATTTTCCTTTGGTTGGAGATTTAACTGTATTGTCTAATAAATGTGTTATATAATTAAACTTGAATTGAATACCCAAGCTGTAAAATTAGTAAAGTAAGTCCCTTCAACTTCATCTGTTTTTTTTGTAACATAGGCATAAAAAATAAATTCAAAATTCCTGTTGCCATTAAGCTCCAACTTTAACATTTCTAACGTCACCTCAATGGAAATGTTATTCCTTTGTCTAGAATGATCCACAATATAGATTAAATCAACCTATCAAACAGGTTATAGTGCTATTCTACATTACAATTTAAAACTGTGGAAAGTCACTCCTATTCATAGAGGGAAGTAACACTTGCAATGAATAAATGCTATATGGATATGTTTTAAATCAAACCATGGAACATTCCAGGCAAAGCAGAAAAACGGTGGCAGAGCCTCCACCAGAAAATTTGCACAGTGCACCTTTACATAAATATCTTTTTTTAACTATAAATTGCTTATTATATAGATTAACTGAGGTCTCTGCCATGATGACAATATTGTTAAATAATTGAAGCAGTATGACATACCTTCCACATACTCCATAACCATGCAAAGGTGCCTCCTGGTCTCAAAGGAGCAGAACATGGAGACCACAAAGGGGTTCTCAGCGAAGGTCAGGATATCCCGCTCCACAAAGGCCTGCTGGATCTGGTTCCTCAGCATCAGGTTTTGTTTGTTGATCTTCTTCATGGCGAAACGCTGCCGAGTCTCCAGATGTCGCACTAGATACACCGCCCTGCACAAAGACATTCATAATGAAAAGAAAAAAAAACAAACAAAAATGTAAAAATAAACAAAGTTCAAACTAAGATTTTTTTGTACTTTTTTAAGTTATGAAAAGAACCTGTGCTTATATGTTTTAATGCTGATATATTTCCTTCCAGAATCACAATACACAATAGCCATGAGATGGGCCGGTGATGTTGTTCTTTGTCATGTGATTTGTCGTTCCGTATGTCCTAATTACCCACTTACCCATATGCTCCATTACTGATCAGCTTGATGGTCTGGAAGTCGGCTTCTCCTGGAGGCTTCATCGTTTTTATTTTTCCCTAAAGATCACAAAATTGAGCAGGTGAATATAAATATTTCATTAACAGTCTCTCATTAGCCTTTTAGCTTTGTAAGTAGGAGTACCACACGCTGCATTTAATTAACTTTTTCGTTTTTTTTGTCTACGTAGTAAAATTCGGGCAGCTGGAGCGATGCCTGGAGCGAGAAGGAGTGCTGTTTCAGTGCCTGAGCATAAATTAGCTAAATGAGATGGATAACATATGCCCAGTGATCAGCAGATTGGAGTCAGTCCCAGCCAAGTCAGATGAAACGTGAGCTGTTAATAGGCAAAAGAAATGAGTAAATAATAATAATGATCTAATGTCTCACCTCAGTGGAGTCATCTGTCTCAGGCGTCACTGGGCCCTCGCTGTCGTAACTGTCCAGGTTCACCATCTCTGCCAGAACACAACAGCACAACTTTTATGTGTTTAATACATTTACTGCAATTATATTTCATTAGTTAAAAATTTGTCACTTTCAAGAGTTATTCCAGAAAAGGTTCAAAAGGTAAAATGTTTTGCTCACAGGATTACTCACACATCATCTCTGTCTCCTTGTATATTGCTGAAATATATTTTGTATTACTATATTTCTATATTTTATTTGTACTTGTACATTTGTATAATTATGCCATATTTGACACCAGTTTGCTACTTATTTTGAATGTATTATTACCATTTCTATTTTTGCAATTTTTGATTATATTTGTACAGAAAAAACAAAAATGTGTCTGTTTGCTGCAGATGTTCCAATCAGTGGGAGCAGGTAGTGGGTGCTCTTGGAAAAAGGATCAAAACTTAGTTAGTTAAAGTTTAACTGTTGAAGACTAGTTTGGTTGAAAAATGTTTGCTTTGGCCATCTAAATAAAGGCCTTTCAACTATATTTTTCCTTGTGTGATTTTTACCTCTTTGGAGTGCCTGGATTCCATTGTGTTTAACGTTATGATTATATTTACGGTGATCTGTGAGCTACTGTGTCCAGATATTTTTCCTTGTGGATCATTAAGGTTTGTCAAAGTCTAAGTCTAATAACAAAATGCATTATAATATGGCTAACAATGTAAACAAAAAATATGCTAATCACCAAATGTATAAACAGAAATAATATGGCAAACCAGATATAATGATTTAATATGCGCTCGGCTCTCACCTTCAATAGGGTCCCGGGTCAGACCCAGCTGATTGATGATGTAGCGAGGAATATCAGTCTTCATGAGGTGTCCCTCTTTGGCGTGGTCCTCTGCGGCTTCCAGCAGATGGTAGAACTCCTCTGGGTTAAACTCCTATAGAGCAAATTAAAGGTTAATTACACTCCATAGAAAATAGCCTAAATACAGTAAGATAAAATAACAAGAATCTGTACTGAACTATATATTTTCCAGAAAAGGATAAATACAATTTCATGTCAGTGTACTGCAAGTTAAATATATACAAATAATATTGCAATTTACATTATTTCTTATTACATGACATAATCTGTAGAGGCAAACATTTATTCTGGTCCAGTTTACTGCAATACTGCTGCTATACAAAAAAATACAGCGAAACTACAGAACTATCTTGGTTCTTATAATCTTTGCCTCCAATCTCTAGCCTATTCATCCCCTAATCAAGGCTGTATTAGGAGATTGCTCAGATAATTCCCCATTTGTCCTGTCAGTCAAAATAAGTGCGTCAAAGGCCCTCTGACTCATCTGTGGAGACGTGTGTGGAGGATGGAGCAGGGCCATTTTGGGTGAGCCCGGAGACCCACCCCACACAGAAACTTGGCCATCGTCACTGGCAACGAGGGGGGTGAGGGGGCGTCATTAGTCGACTGTGGCAAGGTAAATTTTCATCTAAATGCTAATTCTATCCAGAGAGGCTGTACTGGGGCCTTTTATTGCAAGCCTGGCTGGGATCTGTGTCTCCCCCCGCTGTGTAATATATCAGTGCTTAAATACTTATAATAGGCTGACAAATGAGAGTATGAGCTCATGTTTATTGTTTAAAGAAGTTTGATATGAGGCTTAAAAAGGACATGAACTATGGTGTTTTGTTACGATAGAAGAGCAACATTTTAAAGATGCACTGTGTAACTTTTCTAATGGAAGGTCTGCACCTGCTTGTTTCCAAGGAGATATGGAGTTTTGCTTTGATTATTCCACAGTATGGAAATAAACTAGGTAATCACAATGGAGACAGGTTGATGACAGTTCATCTATGGAGAAGCAACCCTGCACAAGAATTCATGTTTTTATGGTATTATTGAGCTATAAAACACATGCAATTTGAACATGTGCAAGGGAGATATGTTTAATGCCCTATATTTAATGCTCTATTGTGGAACATTCCAGGCAAAGCAATAACGTCTCCCTGTAGACAACAAAAAGTAATGAACCATCCACCTTAGAAGTTACACAGTGAACCTTCAAACTTGAAAATTGAATGCGTGGACTAAAAGTCAGGGCTACACTTTATCTGGGTGATGAATTCGATGACATTACAGCCTACTAAAAAGTAAAGTAAAAAGTCAATTTAAATTGGATTTGTCTTTTCTAATGAAAAGACTTCAATCTTGATGAAATATGTTCCACTATCTGTCATGATATCCAGGCCTGTCACAATAAAAAAAAAATGAAGAGTGATAAACTGATGAGCAGATTTTAAACCCCAAAACTATTCTAAATATACAATATGAAATTACAAACTGCAAAAAATAAATAGCAGAATCAAACATTTTAGTAGTTAGTTTGCATCTATAATGAGTCATAGTTACCCAACCTTTTATGGCTCAAATCATGTATACCCAGAAAAATGTAACATAATTTTCTCTATGGTGCAAAGAAAATGTATAAATATGATGATAAATACTGACCCCCAAAAAACATTGTTCCATCTATCATACTGTATATTGAATGATACGTCGATATAGTAATTATCGTGACAGGCCTAATAATATCTACACAAAATCCTTAACAATACGACAAATTATGTTTATTTTTTAATCCAAAAATCAAATTCCTATGCAGTGCACTGTTACAGATCACATGGAAACACTTCTTCTAAAGCTGTATGTTTTTTTCTTACCAGACACTCCAAAAGTCGTGCCGGTCTGGAGATAATGATGAGCAGTTTCTTCACCATCTCTGTGATGAATGTGACCTCTGCACTCTCCGATCGCTCAATGGCCTGATGACAGAGAGAAGATATGAACACAACAGATGTGGTTTTGCTTTTTACAAAATACGCAATGACAGCAGAGCCAATTCTCTTTCAGCTGCAAGATGGAGTTATATTCCACTATCATCATCAGATAGAGTCGGGCAGACGCAGACCCATTCTAATCACAGCGTCTCATCTGTCTCCTCAATACAGCTCAGAATGGATGTGAGAGATACCTGTTATCTCCTCTGCCAAACTACAGCCACTATTACACCTCATTTACTACGCACATTTCAATCTCATCTCTCAAGACAGCGTGCATCAGTCATGTCTTTAGGCGCATTGTGAAAGATTAACCACACAGTGTGTCAATAGTTAATTTTTAGACAGAATGAACAATAGTGAGTAGGAAGATACTTGCTTAAAAATCCTGTTATCTGCATTACATATTGATTGCTATCCTCAGAACAAAAGTGTTATTTATTGGTATAAGATCTACCTGTCCAGTCATGGCAGGTGGAGGCTCTGACCCAACATTAATTATTGACTTAGCGATCTGTCAGTTTCCATTAGGTAAAGCTGCACTATATTACCTAGTGCCTTCGCTCAATTTCATTTCTCTCCAGCAACTAGGTCAGGAATCTAAATACACTAGATGGTTTGCAAGAACCCCGGAAGTTGCAGACCATGCACCGACCAATCAGCGAAGAGCTGTGAAGCCATGACGTGAAACTCAAGTGCCTGTCTGGGTCCCTTTTGTGGTACAGCACAACAGTAAACAAAGCGGTCGAGATGGAAGTAGACGAAGACATACATTCTGCGATGGCAATGATTCTCGAGATCGAGGATTTAAAGACAGAACAAAGAGAATGTTTGATGAATTTTATCAAGGGGCAAGATGTTATTGCCCTTTTTTCTATGGGATTTGGCGCATTAAATACATCACAACCAAATAGCAGCGATTGGTGAAATAAAAAAAGTACTCGTCTACTGTCGAGTGAACGAATCCTAATGCTGCAAGGTCAGACGTTTTCCACGAAGTGAAACCAGCTGATGAATCAGGCTAGCACTATGTAACACCTCTGATAAAGAATTTGCCAACTGCTTGTCTGCAAGAAGATGTTATTGCTCTGCCTGAATGTACGGTACAGTATTTAAATTATCTCTTGCATTTATTAATTTACAGGTGTCTATATTGCTCAAAATACATTGAGCTCTTTCCACAGATCTGATCTATAACTTGGTCTAATGGCATCAACTTCATGTCTGCAAGACGATGGATACATTTAATGCCATACTGAGCAACATTACAGGCAATGCAACAACATTTCCATGGAGACAAGCAAATGACAGAGCCTGAATTCATAAATGTATGAATCAGTTTGCGGTAAATAAAAGGGTATTCCACTCAATAGTTGAGGCGCATTTTACAAGTTTACAAATTAAGACCATATAGTGTGAGAGTAGACTTAATGTAAAAAAAAGCTCTCCCCATCCCACTCACTTCATGGATGAGTTTCTCCAAGTTCTCCTGCAGTTCAAAGAAGTAGACCGATGTGATGAGGCCTTCCTGGGCTTTAGCGAGGCAGTCCCGGGCAAGTTCAACGATCTGGTGGTGAATGAAGCTCAGTGCTCCATCAGCCAAAGGAAGAGTATTGTCCGGAGAGTAGACTTTGATGAACTCAGCCAGGCGCCCCTCCATTTGAGTGGTGGCCTGGTAAGAAGAAAGAGAAACATTTGAAATATGTCATTTAGAAGCTACTTTGTGACAGTTTAGGACATTATTTTATTGTTTTAATAATTTCACATTTTTTCTTCTAAATGTTGCAGTAGAAAATGTGCAATAATTCAAAATCAAAAATATATCTGTTTGTAAAGTAAAAGCTACTGCTCCAAAGATGAAGTAATGTTTAACTCTGGCTAAGTGTGACATCAGATTTCATATTTATATTCTAAATAAAAAACTTCAACCAAGAAGCAGATTTTTACTTTTGGTTGCACGAAATCAGGTTGCATAAATCTCAGAAAATGTTTAATCCGCTTGTTATAATTGTGGTTTTATGGGATTAGAGCTGCAATTTAGTGCATTTTATGAACCCTAATGCAGCATTAAGAACTCACCTTAGGAAAGCGCTCTTTGTACACATGGTTCATCATCACTATCTCATTGTCATAGCAGGAGGAGGACCGTCCCGGGCTGTAAGACAAACAAATAAGAAAATACGATGTGTATTATAACAGGAAGCACAAGTAAAACACAATAAATCTGCATTACTAACTCTATAAATATAGGTTTAGATTTAAAGAAACTGCGAGACTAAGTATACAATAAAAATTGATTTAAAATCTTGACAAAAATGTAGTTATTCCCAAAATCTCAAATGAGGTTGTTGTTGTTGTAGTCTAGATGGGTCTAGATGAACCCATGGCCTAATCTTGTTTTACTTGTGACGGACAGAGATGTGATGCGCTAACCTGAGACTGCGCGAGCGTGGTCTCATGTGAGGTGAACAGCGCCCCCCATCATCGTCTGTGATACTCTCCGAGCTGCCAAAATGTTTGGACAGAAAGTGCAGCTCTTCCATGGTGGGCTGGAAAGGCAGCTGGTTCAGACGCTCCTGGGACGAACTAGATGACTGAAGAGAAAATGAGACAAACAAAAGGAGAAGTTAATTATCGAGGAATTTTATGGATTGTCAAAGCTTTAGGTAGTGATTGTTGATTGTATTGATTGTTTTTATGTCCATAAGCAAGACCCTGCCTATGATTAAGGAGCACAAGAATAATGCACCGATTTGCAGTCCATTTTAGTGTAGTTTATGATACTAAAACTCAATTTCCATCACAATGATTAACAAAACATATACTGTCATTTTCAACATTAAAAATAATATTGCTTATCAGTAATATTATTTTGTCCTGTTCATGTAGTAGTATTAGTTTTGATGGTTGATAGTATTGATAGTTTGATGAAATGTAAAAAAAAAAAAAAAAAAAAAAAAAGACCTCTTTATTAAACAACAATATGTATAGCCACTTTTGCTTGAAGTATTGGATTAACAAATATCTTAACTTAAAATAACTTAATATCATAGTCACAGTTACCACAGCAGTAATTCCAACAGTAATGGAGGCATATGTAGGTTCTTAGCCAGGTGTACAGGACAAAACTAAATTCCAGATGTGTATCTTCTAAACCTTTCAGCATGTCTGACAGTTAAAATGCTGTTAACGTGATTGACAGGAAGCAGGAGATGTTCCTACAACCGGGGCTCCAGGCGTTTGAGTAAAACCAGATGGAAACCTTTTTAGAGATCTATAAAACACTATGATTGAAAGTATACATTGGCTCTGTGTTGATCTATACATTTTACTATATACTGAGAAGTCTGACACAGTAAATAAATGTGTTCTGCAGGTGTTAAATCTATCTGACAGCAGAGCCATGTTGGACTGTCCCATCTGCCTTCATCAAAGTGCCATCGGGTGCTGATCCATCACAGTGACACTCATTGAACACAGTTAAAAAGGGACAGAGAACAGTCCATTTCTCACCGGTGTCTTATCACTGAATTTAGCACCTGGATGGAGCTTCAGTCTTCAATTCACTTTTCACTTTCCTATGCTGCTGTTTTTAGTCAGTAATTTAGGGTTGTCAAAATATAAAAAAAACAACAATACAATCAATAAAAATCAAGTTTGAAATTTTAGTATTGTGACAACACTACTGTAACTGCAGTTGAATCATCATCCATGTATATGACTAGTCTTGCAATCTCTCATGGTTTATGCTCTTACGATTAGCAGTATGATTCTGTACAAAGCTCCACCCATTAGCTTACATAACCCATGCTCCAGAGCGGCCATTTTTCTCAAGGAAACAATACACTACAACTTCACAAATCTGATGTGATGTGCAGCAGTTTCATTAGCAAAAAGCAAGTTGATTGTGTTGTGATAGCACTAGGAAGGGGGAGTGACTTAGCATGGGGAGAAAGCAGAGCATCAAAAACTAAACTGAAACTACTTCAACATTTTAATATGTTGTTTTCAGCAATTTTGCATTTTCAAATCAATAAAAGGTAACATGGTGATCTATGTATGTTATGCGTAAGTGTATCACCACCTCAAACTGATTCAATGATGCAAATACATAGAAAGACTAAAGGCCGCCAAACACTACAGAAGAATTTGCCCAATTTAGGCAGCTATTTGCTTCTCCCCAAGTTTGAGGAGGCGTGACCTGGCTTTATGTCTTTGTATGTAATTTTGAAGGTGCTGCGCATTTCATGTGATGTCAGTGTGTCTCTGAGCTGCTCTGTCAGATCATAACCACCAAATATCAAAGAGTTTAAGAAAAAAAAAATCCTGTAGTATGTGGCGGTCTTAAGGGAGGTTTCTTAACAGAGAATATTTGAGCATCTCTTAAAATCTCATGTTGTAATCAAATCAATCTACTTTACATCCTCTGCCTCATTTCTTTCGATAGTCCAGCCACATGACCCCCCCCCCCTCCTCCTCCCCCCATCCCATTACGGAATTGGCCCCATTCATCTGACCACACTGTTACGTAATAGTTCAGTCAGAATAAGACATAAGGGAAGGAGCAGTGACGTCATGCGGCTCACACATGAAGGTTACTGAGGGGAGAGAGCATTACCGTGGAGCTGGGTGTGTTGGTGCCATATCCGGATGAGGGCAGGGACGCCAGGGACCATCTCCTGCCATCCGCTCTGTGGACATAACATGTTACATCACTGAGCATCAGAACACAGCACTAAATACAGGCCATAACATGATTCAAGGGAGATGGAGTGTGAAGAGAACATGTACGTCAGCACTACACAAACTAAAAACTATTCAACGTCAAGAAATATAACTTGTATAGACCTGGAAAACTGCTTGGATCAGTTATGTTATGAAAAAGTATATTTTACTACTGCAACATAAGCAACAACAAATTGTTTGGAATTGCAGTTCCATAAATCAGACACTGTTTTGGCATGTCAAATGGGTGTGTGTTATACAATATAATACAATGGAATCTAAATTGCAATTTTGGTTGATGTAATTATCAAATTGAAATTTATGGGATTCTTGTTTGTTGTTGTTGTTGTTGTTGGTTTCAATCTTCTCTTCTCTCTTCAATCTTAAATTTATGCTCCTGGAGTTGTGGACAACTTTTTACACATAAATCACAAATCTAATTGCAATAAAATATAACACAAAATCATGGAGCCCCTGTGTTATCAGCAACACTGACCTTCTGGATGAGGTAAAGGAGAAGTGAGCCGGATTACTGGGGGAGAAGTTTCGGGGGCTGTCCAGGGGGCTGCTTCCTGAAGACAAAAGTAAATCACAGTTAGAAAGACCAGCAGGTCAGAACATGCTAGTTTTAAATGGGCCTGTTATTAGACGAATACTAACACACTATGTCTGTAGTTGTAATTAAATGGTCCATACTTGGAGTAATAGAGTTAACCAAATAGTCTTAAAACTGTTTTTATATGCTTTTTCTCCGCCTAAATCAATATTTCTGTGGTCCACGATTATAACAAAAAAGCTAATATCTGCTGGTGGATAATGAATGGAGTGAAGTTTGCTAATCTGTACAGAGAATTTTTGTTTGCAATATTGTTGGGTGTGTTTGTTTTTGTACCAAGATGTCCAGGGAGGGGCAGGGGTGAGTGTGGCCGTGGCATTGTGGGAGACGTGGTGGTCAGGATCAAACTCTTCCTGTTACTGGCACGACAGCTGAGAAAACACAGAAGATAAATAACTTTAAACCTTACCTACATGATGGCACAGAATTACACTTAATACTGCAGAAAATGTGCATGTGAAAAAAAATACTATTTATTAGAATATATTTCTATATTTAAAAAAATATAAAAACTATATATTAAATAAAATTTTGCACAGTGGTAATACAGTAAATACAATATTTGATTTCTAATGAAATGACTGCATGTAACTTTATAAAATGCACTCAAACAATAATTGAAAGAGTAAATTAAACAACATACAATTGTGTTATGTATAAAAGAGCGGAGAAAAGCAGCCATGCAAATGCTTGTGTCAGAAGATATAAAAGACACAATTTCCTCTGTGATCCATCAATGTCCAGGTAAGAGAAAGTAAGAGAGACAAAGTCAAAGAGAGAGAGGCGGAGACAGGAAGACACGGATCTGAGTCTGCAGCTTTTGTCCTACTATAGCCTACTAAAGCCTCACAATCACAAGCACCCCTCTGTTTGGTTAAATACTCACAATTTCAGCTTTGTTATTTCACATAGAGCATCTCTGAATAACTAACTCTCAACAAATGAAAATATGAAATATTTCAAACAAGAGAGCACAAAAGCTACACTTCAGGCCTTCACAGTTCCATGTAATTTCTTGTTCTTTCCTGATGGACAGTCACTCAGCACAGATAACGCAGGGACAGCCTGTCAAACCGTCACTGCCTCCTCACGCTCCCAATTATAACTGCACTGAATGTCCAGTACACTGTGTCTCACAAGAGACGCTAGTCACACAAATGTCACCTACTACAGCTATCAAATCCTGTACCACTGCTATTCAGTTTGACCAATGACCATAGTAAAATAAAGACAGATTATCTATAATCATGGTAATAATTTATCACTGTATATTTGCACACATTGGGTGCCATTATTGGTGTTATTTCTCCAGATCTGGGACCAAAATAAGAAGACAACTGTCACTCTAGGCATTCAATCTCCTAAAAACAGGCGGATATAACTCCATCCAAAAAGCTCACGTTTGTAACTACACCTGAACTGTAGCAGCACCCCACCCCACAGTCTATTGATCAGATCTTCACACTCATAACAATATTACTGAACAGTTTACTTGAGTTTAATTATTTTAATGACTGTATACAAAGTTTTAAGGTAAAGGAATCAACACAGACATGCCACTGCCTCCATTACCTTGAAGCTAATGTCATTGATTTTACACCTGGTTTACAATAGCCTATTTCAGCATGTTTGATTTTGTGTTTTACACTGTATCTAAAACACTATAAAGTCACTGAACTGAAGCCCCATCCATCTGTCTGTTTTCATTATGAGCACACCAGAAACACAATCAATGGCATCTATAGCAGCCTTATGGATATTGATCTGAAGGGCCAAGAGGCTCCATTGAAAGAGCCAGGCCACATTAAACACTCTATCAATCGTTCTCTCATGGTGATGTTCTTTTCTTCTGGGAAAGCCTCAATCATCTACGTTCACCAACATGTTATGCAGACAAGCAAAGCAGAGATTTAGCAAGGTTATTTTAGTTTACTGAGCATAAAACGGTGTATATCATGAAAAAGATGGATGACTAATGAAATACTAGTTTATTTAGTGCTGCTTTGGCTTGGTTTAGTTCAATCCCATTTAAACCTAAAGTCTTCCTGGTTATGTCCTAATTATTTTAGAAAAGTGGTTCTTAACCTTTTTCAGTAGTGCCCCCCATAATCGCATGTGCTGACAAATTTAACGTTATGGTTCGGTATAGGCCAACTCTAGGAATCTACATTTACCACTGCATTTGAAGTAGTTACTGAACTCCAGATGTCTGTCTTCTAAACCTTTCAGCGTGTCTGACAGGTTAAACACTGTTAACATGACTGACAAGAAGTAGAAGAAATGTTCCTACAACTGGAGTTCCAGGTGTTTGAGTAATATCTATTTTAAATTCTTTCCCTTATAATCAGGGACAACCTGAAATCATTTACCACAGACTGAAAACCAGAGGTCTAGATTTGGTTAATGCCACAGTTGATTCATGATTTTCAAACAGTGGACATGAACATACTTGCACTGACTCCCTCCCCCTCGCTTAGAGCACACAGAATAAAACCAAGAAAAACATAACTTTTCTGGGTTAATGGATTCTCACTGCTGTGAGAAATCAATGCAGTAAACGTCACAACACTCGGCGCTGGGCAGCCAGCTGACTTTATCTCAATGTAAACATGTAAACACAGGCCACAGCCTGTATCTGTACACAAGGTCTTTGGTAAGATGTTAGCTCACTGGTCAATCCAGGACAAGATAAGAATTCAACAAATTTGAGGACCACAAGGAGTCTTGGGGAAGGAGTAAAATGAATGCTGTTGCAATGAATCACAATATCACAACTTTTGCAAGGATTTAGCCTTCATTCTGGCAAAAGGCAGCCAACCAACAAGGTGTGTTGTAGCATGTAATAATATAATATAGTAGGAAAAAATGTACTGACTTGGCCTCTTGGATAATGAGTTTCAAACATTTTTTGGGTGACTGAGGATTACTTTGCTATGAAATATAATACTAGGACAGAAGTAATCACCAAAAAATGACAAACAAACAAACAAAATACACAAATATTTGTATAAATGTATTAAAAGAAAAGAAAGCAACATTCATCTTTTTTACCTCATTAGATTAGTCAAACTAAAGACTCAACATAAAAATCTGAGATAGCTTGAAACTATTCAAGTAAAATGATAGGATCTTTTATTCAGAAGCTTTTGTAAGTGAAATAAATGAACACATAATGCTCTGAAGTACACATACAGTAGAAAAGTGTAGCAAGGGAAAAGAAAAACAATGAGGAAAAAACAAGAATAGACTATTTTGAAATGCAAAGTGTGAAAGAGTGTTGAAAGTTAAGTCAACATGACCCACTTTTGCACAGGGACAGTGCAGATATGGCCGAGGGAGCAGGGGAAAGGGTGTGTGCACCAACAGAGCCAGACAAATGGGAGCCTTTGTCATCGGCGTGTTCTACAGTGAAAGAGCATTGTGTAGCATTAATATTGATTTAAACCTAAAGCAGTGCACACTAGGTGATCTACAGCACACGGCTAATAGACTGGGGTCTGAAGGGGCACATTAAAAGACAGTTGTTGGTGTATTATTCTAGGGTACAGGGGAAAATGTATAAAGCATCGGATGTTTCCTCAAGCAGTGCTCATAAATCACATGAAAAGTGAAATGGAGGTCTGTGTATGATATAGGTGCAAAATGGTATTACACAAAATGACAAAATGAAAAGCTTTACAAAATATTTTACATTTCCCTTGCACTTTTTCATCTTTTTTAAATCAGAGCTTTGAAATCTGTGTGAAAAAATAATAGGTCATATGTTGAGAAGTGCTAATGAGTTCCATACTGCTAGGTTGGGTTTCAGATGACATCATAATATTGTATATATAGGTCAATAACATTTACAAATGTAAAATATATATTGATAAAATGCTGTTTTTGTTGTAATACAGTTCTAGGGGCCTAGGTCAATGGGTACCACTTTATCATTCTTAAAAAAAATATTTGTTCATTTAGATAATTCGTTTCATCAGATTTTGAATTTTAAATGCTGCTGAATTTCTCCCTTTGAATGTATGAACTCTGAAAAAACATTTTTGAATTATTTTTATTCTGAATTGTAGCTGCTGAAATTTTAAGTGTACATTTTCAAAGTGTTTGAATTTTGGCTGTTGAATATGAGGACTTGAATATATTTGTGCTGAATATTTAAAAGGTGAATTTTTTATTTTGAATTTTAGAGTGTAAAATTCACAGTGAAAAAAATTCGTAGGAAAGATCCAAGATGCCAATGTCGAAGGAATCGATCCAAAGTGATCCGATCTAACTTAGTAACAAGCAGGAAATCTCTTTTATTTCTTTAAGTGTAAACCCTGGCCACAAATGAAAACGACCAATAGGAAATATCCTCTGTCCTCCTTACTCACTTATGATCGATTGCTTCTGCCTTGGCATCTTGGATCTTTGTGAATTTTACATTCTGAATTTTAACTTTTGAATTTGAGGGCCTGAAAATATCTGTGTTGAATATTTAAAAGGTGATTTTTTTATTTTGAATTTAAAATATATTGAAAAAGTATACTTAAAATTTCAGCAACAAAAATTCAGAACAAAAATAATTAAATTCTTTGTTCAGATTTAAAAATTCAAAATGAGAAATTCAGCGATATTTAAAATTCAAAATCTGATGGAATAAATGATCTTCCATACTCTTTATGAATTATGAGTCTTTGTTCATTCTTTAGTAATTATTATAAAGTGTTACGGTTCAATAGAACTAAACTGATAAAATGATTGGCTGATACAGCTCTCAGCCTTAAATCTCCAGCGTATGTTGATATTTAGTTTTGGCACTTAAGTGCAAAAGATGAGTGCAAAAAATGTGACTACACTGCTCTCTTACAGGTTTATGGTTAAAAAAGGGGCTGTTGGTGAGTGTGTAATAAATTTTAATTACAAAATTTTGGGAAAATAATCAAAATCAGCCCTATATTGACAAAAACACCTCTACTTCCATAGTAAAACATGAGTTGAATATAATCTGACTATCTGGAACTGTGCTGTACTGCATAGAATAACAAAACAGTAATAAAAAGGGCCCTCGCCCCTAACTTTGTTAGTGGCGAGGGCCAATCATGGAAAATCTTTGTTAAACCACTTCTTGTGCAAAGTTCATATGAAACACAAACATTTTAATCCTCAAAACAGCGAAAATGTCAAACGAGTTTCCTTCCACTAAACAAACAACGAAACTGTAGCTGTAACAAAATCATTTAGTAAAATAAACCAAAAATACTCTTGGTGATATATCGATAGAGCAGCCCACAATATCGATACTGTGTCATCACATTAAACGATACGATATATCGATATTTCAATATTTTTGCACACCCCTCTACTCTTTATCACACGAAGACCACAGACCATA